TACCATCCGAAGATGACGCTCGCTCTCCTGTTTCCACTGATATGCTAACAGGACATCTGTGGACCCTGCAAATGTCGGTGGATTCCCCCTGATAAACGAGTGACGAGTTTTGTCCCATGACATTGGCTGTGCCACTGGTTCAGGAATAGGTACTATCGGAGGAGGTTGCTGGTTTCGTATAGCAGATGCTACTCCTGCTGCTACTGCTCGTGCAATGATATCAGCAACTTGAGGGGAAAATTCCTGATTCTCATTTTGAGTTGGGGAAATACTGCGATGCTGGTTCGCATTCCTTGTCCCACGCCGAGACATCCTTCTTTTAAATTAAAAAAAATCTAACGTCAGTACATTATAATGGACCGACTAAAAGAATACAAAGAACCCTAATACTTAGGCTCTATTTATCAGAATACACAACGCGGAAGTATAGTAATCACAGATCCCTAAGACACTCGAACCTGGAATGCTCTGATACCAACTGTCACACCCCCACATTTTCCACGCATAAGTTGATCAGGCTTATACACGAAAAACGAGGGATATCAAAAACAATTGGCAATATACAAGCATGGAATACAAAATGATGATAATAAAAGAATTTAGACAAGAAAGGAACACTAAATAATACAACATCCATCCATCCTTTATTTAATACAGTACTTCATTACAACTTGGAAATCCTATGTCAAGGATCCCTAAATATAACCCTGAGAGTTCAACGTCAAAAGTAAATAAAAACTGAAACTGAAGTAATACATAAAACTTCTACCCTGAACTGGATCGTAAGAGTAGATGAGTTCGGATGGTGGTCCCACACTGCTAACCTCAACCTTGGAACGGGTACTGACCGTATCCTGAAATAACAACAATGGTGGGTCAACCCCACGAGCAAGTCCTCTCTACTATGACCCAAATCAGAGAATCAAATAAATTAATCATTATGAATCGGTTGAGTACTATATCTGTATACATCCTAAGGGAACTATCCCATGTATAACATGACCTCAACCAGAATAGACGGTGATCACTTAGACTCACACTAGGTGGTTAAGTGTCGCCTTTCCCCACCCGGGAAATCAGCTATTATACATGGTGCACGGTACTGACAACACAGACTATAACGAACTACACAGTGATAACACCTCGCAAAGTACTGATGAATATACTGAGCATATAAGTTAGGCAACACATGCCAGCAATATTAATAAATATACCGAGTATGTTAATTAGGCAACATATGCCAATAATATTAAACCACATACCCCGACAGCCACACATCTGTCTATAGCAACGAATGCATAAGGTATAAATGAGTCTAAACTTATTAGCCAACTCACATGGTTCTATATGGCAACACATCCATATAATATAAATGCGACATAATTGAAACAGTCCATTTATTTCCTGAAATGCACACAGCATAATAATCATGGTTGATATATGATTAACAGTATAAATATCCCATAATATATATTGGATAATTTATATGACTAAAACATGGCATTATTTAATTTAATACCATTTAGTAAGATATTAACACTATTTATATTTAACAATGTCATTTAAATAAATCACATTAATATCCGTACTGTGAACGAGTCAATAAATGCTTAGAAAAGATTAATCGGTCATAAGAATAAGTAACGGGTATTAAAATAATAATTTCGTGGCCCGTTAAACCCGTAAATACCAACACAGTACCTAAAAATCCAAGTTTAAGGTTCTGGAATTTACAAAACAGGCCTTAGGGGTATTCTGGTAATTTCCAGCAGCTGTAGAGACCCCACACGCGCCCTCACGCGCCTCCCAGAGCCTCCCACACGCGCCGCCACTTTTCTCACACGCGCACGCGCTTACACGCGCCTTCACGCGCGTCTAGAACCTCCCACGCGCCTCCACGCGCGTCTGGCATCAGCCACGCGCGCGCACGCGCTCCCACGCGCGCACCATGGCTTCCTGCAGACGTGTCACTTCCTGGTTGGTTGGCTGCATCCGGACTCCGTACTCGCGTCACACCGGATCATCTCACCCTATCTTCCCTCCATCCAACGCCCACAGATCCGGGTGTACCGCGGTAACATGGACCGCGGTGCACCGGATCAATCGCTGCTGTTTAATGGTCCAGATGCGCGCGCATACCCTCCTATGGTGCGCCGCATCACACCGGATCACTCCGGTCATCTCCCCCATTGCCGGCGACCGGAAAACTCGCCGGAAATTGCAGAAACTTACCGGAAAATTCTAGAAAATTCTAAAAAAAATCCCAAAGGCCATAATAATTATTTTTAGCTATATTTTGATTACATAGGCCATAAAATAATTATCGACCACCTTTAATAATTAAAATTTCCTTTCTTTAATAAATTAAAAAAATTAATTTAATAATTTCCTAGCATGATCTCTAAGCTCTATAATTATTTAAATAATCTAAACAATTAATTTATGGATTCAAAGGGGAAAAGTAGATAATAACTTGCCTTTTTGGATTTAAAATAAATCCGCCGGTTGCGCGTAGTCGGGTAAATTTCCTACACCGGTCCAAGCTCCTTTCTTTCTCTCTCTTCCTTTCCACACTTTTACAATGGCTCACTAGAATTTATAATTTGTTTCTAACTCCCTTTCTTTCCTTCTAAGGTAGGCTAGCTAATTTATATACAAATTATATAATATAAATATTACAAATATCTATTTTTGCATTTAATTAACCACATTCCCAACCATAAGGCTTTAAGGCTAGCAAGCCAAGTCAAGCAAGATGTCCTAAGGTAAATCCTATCATAAGATTTAATTTTTCATCATTACATTGATTTAATACTAATATTATTATTACTAATATTATTATTAATAAAACTTTTATAATTATTAATATTATTATTATTATTATTATTATTATTATTACATAAGAATACATTATATCATTATAATACTTTATAACACAAATATAATACTTTAATTAACTAATAATGATTAATATAAGCATAACCAACAAATAAAATTATTAATAATAATACATGCATAATTAAATGAATAAATTTACTATTTTGACATACACAATTAATTTACATGCACCATTAAATGATCTTAATATAACAATGTAGCATGCACAATAATAGGTAAAGGAATCCACACATAATTGAATTTAAATAAACTAAACTCTTTAATAAAATACGGGGTATTACAATAAAATTATTTATTTTGATTTATTTTATAAAATATAATAAGGGTAATTTAGTTAACTTAGGTTTAATTTGTTAGAGGGATCTATTTGCACCAGATTGAAACTTTAAAGTATTTTTTACACGAGAGGGGCTTCCTCCAATACTATCCTTTTTGGTCATTTTACAAAATTATTTATTTTTATATATTTTATAAAATGGTTCAGTAAGGATAATTTAGTCAACTTAAGGTTTAAATTTGTCAGAGGGATCTATTTGTACCAAATTGAAACTTTAGAGATGTTTTTTTGCATGTAAAAGGTATGATATAGACTATAAACATACTTTAAAGATGTTTTCTACACTTGACGCTAATATGGCCTTAGAACTTAAGTGCGAATTCAGAGAGCAAAATAACTTATGTTATTTATGTTGTTTGGAAAGGAAGGAATTCTAATAGGAATTGGATTTTATCGGATTTGATAGGAAATATCGTAGTTGTAACAAATCCGGAGAAAATTGGCAGAATTTCATAGGATTTGTGACGAGATGAGTAACAACTTTTTCAAAGTATCTTAATTTTACCAAAATATCCTCCTCTTTTAATGTATCACTTTTTTTTTATTTTTTTATTTTTTATTTTTTGTAAAAGTGAATATTAGCGTGAATTTTCAGTCATTTTATTGTCTTTCCTTCTCTGTCATCAATCCTTCTCTTCCAATACGCAAGACCAGGCCAAACTGTAAGCTTTTTCTATTTTATAGATCAATTTTGATCTCTTTAATATGAAACACATATTTAAATATGAACAAAATTGCAAGTGCTCTTGACAAAGCAAATGTTGTGGCTGATAAAGCAAATGCGGTGGTTGAGAAAGGCAAACGACGATTTTGTTCAGGAGAAGAAGTGTTTTTAGAGTTACAAGCGATGGAGGGAATTGACAAAACTTTTTTATTTGCTGGTTATGATTTTCTTATTTCGGATCCAGTAGCTACTGCTGAAGGATTTTTTGGATGCCCAGTTCATATGCGTAAGATTGGTTGTCATGGAAAATGAAAGATTGGTTGTCATGGAAAATGATTATGAAGTCTTGAATGGATATTTTCTTTTTTTTTTTTTACTTTGTTTTATTTTATTTATTTTTGTTCAATTTCTGAACCTAATTCAGAGAGAAAAATAAAGTACTTTAGTTCATGTAGATATTTTATTTGTTATTAGGATTGATTAATAATTCAAATAATGCTTGACCATAATGTTTTAGAATATTTGATCAAATTGACTTATTTCACTCTTTTTAAATATTTATATATATGGTAACAAAACATCATGTAATTATACATATTATTATTTGTATATTTTTATGTATATAGTTATGTATATTTATAGTAGTAATAAAAAATTTAAGAGTAAAAGAAGTATATTAAAATATTATTTCATACTATGTGGTTTAAGTTGTCAAAATTATTATAAATAAAAATTATGGTTTAAGTATCAATATATGTCCCTCTAGTTGCTGCTCTTTAGTGGTTTCCGTTGTTGAGCGGTGGCTCTTTCTCAGCTGATCTGGAGCCTGGTCTTCATTTTTCTTGTTTTGCTTCAGATTCTGTTTGCCTTTTTCTACTTGGCTTTATGTCTCTGTACTGTCATTCTCGGCTTGGTCTTTGTGCCCTTTGCAATGATAACAATTTACTTTTGGACCCAAAAAAAAAAAACAAAAAAAAAAACGTATATCAATATATGTCCTGCAAATATACGTTACACACATCTCAAACGATAAAAAATAATATTTCCATTTCAGTTTATTCCAAACACATAAATGAAATTTCATTTTTATTCCAATCCAATTCCTTTTCTAATTTTAAATCCAAATTCCGAAGGATTTGGTTCCAAACAGAGCGTAAGGAATCGAATGAGTTCACTAGTGCTAGCTATTTTGAGTCTCTGCGCTATTCATGGTTTGCAAAAGCTAACTGTGTTCATCACTTTTCGACAAGACTCTGAACAACTTATTTTTAATCTCACGGACGCAAAATGGCGTTTCTGTAGCGAGAAGAGCTACAATGCCACAGACCGTTGGTTCGGTCTCCGATCAACCCTCAGACTCCTATAATCCCACACCAATGAACATTGACGGCGAACAACGCGAAGAAGAAGGGGTTTGCACTGAAGCAATTGCACAAAGAGACGCTTCGCCTGTGTCGAAGAATGCGGAGGAGTCCGAAGGTCAAACGAAAACTGGCAAAAAGAGAGACTTGAGCGAGTATAATCTGAATGGACTGAAATGTCCAATCTGTATGGACCTATGGACATCTCAAGGCGATCATCAAGTTTGGTGAGAAACACCCTTTTCCCTTTTTTTTTTTTTTTTTTTTTTCTATTTATAGCTAATATGTGTGTGTTTCATTTTTTGATATGAATCTGTTGTATTGCATAGGAAAATAGGTAATAATAGGGTAATTGGAAATTGGGTTTAGGAGAGTTAGGGTTTTCACGTTCTGTAGCTGTTAAGAACATGGCCAATATATAGGTAACGCATCAAATCCTGTAAGCCTAATCTAGGTCCTTTTCCTCCTGGGCTGCTTGAACCTCAAATATGGCACCTGCTCTGACACCATAGGTAATGCCAAAAGCCCTGGGGCTAATCGAATAGGTCGAAAACCAAGAACAAATCAAGAATCAAGAAAATAGTAAACACCACACAAAGAACACAAAGATTCACGTGGTTCGGCATAAGCCTACGTCCATGGTGAGGATCCGGTGAAAGTTTCAACCCCCAAACCCTAGCTCTCTTTATTGTTCTCTTTCCTGCGATTTTTATTAGCGGGCGGGCTCTCTTCACACACCCCAAACTCTAAATGACCTTATATGTTGGGCTACAAGAGAATCCTAGAAAAGGGTCCCGGGCTCGCAAGAGAAAATCTGGGTCGCAACCCGAAACAAAATTCTGGCCACAACTTCACAGATTAGATGACTGAGAACTATATTTAACACTGGGTTTATTGTTATATTGAAGAGTCTTGTTGATTTGCCTTTGAAATTCCACCGACTAGGATACCACTTGCAGTTCAGCTTTGCAGTATTCTCTGCCACCACATGAGGAGGTGTTGCAAGTTGTAGGGCATGGGCTTGCAACGTTAGTCATACTTACTGGATTTTTTTTTTGCATATCATATTGATTTCAAGTTTGCCTTCATGGATCCACATTTGCTGTATCAGGCCAAGTGCGAGGTGCACTAAGATGATATTTTGTGGTTTTTGACAATTATAGATACGTACCCTAATTGCTCTTGACATTAGTCATATCTACTCACCAACTTAATTTGTTGGAGCTATCATGTATCTCCTCTTTGGCAGTTGAACACCAAATTGAAAATGCCCGATAGCTTGTAGTTCCCGAATGATATTAATATCTTTGTTTGACTTATAAACTAAAGTGAAAGGTCTAGTATGGCTTCTACAATTTCCTCTTTTGCATAAGAAATAGATAAGGAATCTCTATTTTTTTCCTCCTTTTTCTCAATTTTATTGTTAAAATAAGAAGTCCTTGTCATTGTTGGAGGCAATTTAATTTGCTTTTGATTGAAGTTCTCTTTAATATGACTGGAACTGAAATTTAACTTGATAAAGTGCACTAGAATGGAGATATGATATGAATGAGTTGACTCAGTTGAGAATGCGAAAATTTGACAAATCTTTAGGACTAGCTCTAATAAGATAAGGTATGCTTGGATATACTTCAAGAAGATTAATGCCAGCACTAGTTAGAAGAAGTGAACTGGCGTAAGTTATAGGTGCTTAATGGGATGGAGTTTGCTAGACTTGGAAGACTAACTGTCCAACTCAGCAAATCTGGATTGAAGATCCTCAACTTTCTGATTCCCAAACTTCCTTATTTAAAGAACTCCATGCTGTTAGTATTAAAACTAAGAAGAATGGAAAATGCCCTTGATCTCTATATCCTTGTTTAAATAGAGTTTGTTGAGCAACTTACTATATTACTTTGGGCCTCATTCAGTGTGTTAGAATATTAAAGAAAAAAATAGATATAAAAGGAACAACTTATAAAGCAAATGGATTTAAGTGGTCCATCAACAATAGGACTTTGTACGAAAGCAAAGATTATAAGCACATTCAACCAAAGTAAGAAAAGCACCTAACCTACAATCCAAACTCGTTGAATAATTGGACGACGACGATGACAACAACCAAGCCTTTTTCCACATGATATCATATCTTTCTTTATTAGTTCTATCCATTTTAACTTTGGGCTTCCTCTTCCCCTATTATTACCCAGTCTTCTTTGCATATGTCCAAGCCATTTTAACCAATTTTCTCTCATTTGATCTTCCAATTGGTACTACTCACTTAAAATAAATAAATAAATAAATTATTATTATTTTAATTTTTACTTATAAAAAAAAATGGCGCTACTCCAACCATCTCCCGAATGTGATCATTTCTAATTCTATAATTTCTCGGATTACCGCACATCCATCTCAACATTTGCATTTCTGCCACAGCAAATGTTGTTTCCAAGCTGCCCAACATTCGGTATCATAAAGTATGGTTGGTTTAATAGTCGTTCTATAGAACTCCCCTTTCAATCCTAAGGGAATATGCCTATCACACAATATACTAGGTGCCCTCCTCCATTTAACCCATGCTGCCTTGATCTATGATTAGAGTCATCTCCAATTTCTCCCTCAGTATGAATAATTGAACCTGAATAATTGGACAACCTCTAAAAATTCCTATCCATCAACTCTTATTTGGAGAGCCTTAGAAATCCTATTCATGAACTCCCATAATTATACTTCAAAAAGGCAAAATTAATAGTTCCAAGAATTAGAATTTAGTAAAATATCCCCACCAATTGGCCTTACAAAAAAAAGGATCCCTAGAAAGCTTACAAAAATAATTCTGGTTATGTACAAGGATACAAGACTTAGAGTTCTTACAATATGTGTATGTTATTTGCCAATGACATAGTGGTATTGGATACTTCTAAGGTAGCCCTAGCAATAGAATTAAAACATGGAGAAAACATTAGAGGTGAAAGGCTTAAAATTAGTAAAATTATGGAATCTATGAAATGTAAATTTGATAATGTCTCAGAAAATAATGATAATAACAACAATTTGATAAGACTACTTCTGTATTTGGGCTTTAAACTTAGTTTCAGAAGAAAATAGGATAAAGGGTCTTGGTCAAGTAGAATCTGTTTCACTGTAAATTCCTCTACCCATATGGATGATCAATGATATTTTCCATGATCTGGGGATTACTATAAATAACTAATTTTGTTATTAGGGTCAATAGTACAATTTGAAAGGGTGGTATATGGTAATGTAATTAGTAGGATTAGTGCATGTTGGATAAAGTATAAGTAGGCTAGTAATGACCAATGTCTTACGTGGTAAAACAATACTAAATAAGATAGAAGGAAAAATTTATTGGACAATTATAAAGTTAGCTATTTTATATGGAGTCGAGTGTTGGGCATTAAGAAAAGAAACAATCATCACATCCATGTAGACCCTGATATCATATTTCATGCACTTGTGATATTTCTATCCATATTGCAACTATTTTTATGTAGTCCATTACTTGTCTTTTACGTTTCTCTCTTTTTATTTATCTGGCCATGAATTGCAGTTGTCTTCCCTGTGGACATATATTTGGTATGTCATGCATCAATAGATGGATTCTGCACCGAGGTGGACATTCTGCCAAGGTACTTGTACTGCTTTTTACTGTCAACATGTACTGATTCCATACTGGAAAAGATCAACGCGAAGGATATTGATCTTCATTCACCTCTGCATTTCTTCCTGTAGTGCCCTCAATGCAATGCAAAGATTAATATGAAGGATGTTACGAGGCTGTATGCATCACCAGTAATTATGGTTGATGAAGACTTACACAAGGTCATAATCATTCTACTCTGATGGGATTCACTTTTTATATTTATTGAAACTTTTATTGATTAGTGGCTTTACTCTTCTGCAGAAAATTGAATCTCTTGAGGCTGAAAATACGTATCTCAAAACTGAGGTAAGATTGTTTACCAGCAAAGAAACAAACTGTAGATTGATCGTTGGCTTGAGCAATGCGTATATTTTATCTAATATCAATACTTTGATACATCTTGGATGACTTGTTACTTCAACTCTTCATGAATTACTATGGGTCCATGCATCTTTATGTTGTGAGATTAAATGTTCTATTTGAAGCTAATTCAACAAGTTTTTTGGGATGACATAGAAAGTAAAGAGCTTGCTGTTTGGAATTTCTTATACCTCAATTTATGAATATTATGCACTTCCATTTTTATTTTTTTGTTTAATTTTAAAGATATTACATAAAAACAGATCAGTTGTGTATCCGCATAATATAAATACTTTAAAAGAATAAATATTTTGATTTAAGTTTCAAAATCCAGAAAATTTGTGTTTGAAGAAGCAATTTTTATCTTTTGAAAAGAAATGCTTTAGCCTAACTGTGTGGAGCCCACACTATAACAAAAAAACTACTGTTAATTTTCACATTGTCCACATGTCAAATTGACAAATGAAATGTTAAAAGGAAGACACTGCTTAATCTCTATTAATTTTTTTAACCATCAATCCTTCCTTCCTCTAATATCGTATATATAATCATGTTCCAGTTTCGCTCTTCCCCCCCCCCCCCACGATGAAGAATCTGGCTTTATATTCTTCAGTGAGGCTGGGCTTTGACTTCTTGCGTATTGCTGTTTGAACCTCTTTTTTTTTACATGACAACAACATGCAACTTTTGACCTTTGTTGCTATTTCAATATGCATGCATGTCATTTCTTTTGAGGTTTGCTTCATTATACCTTATGCATTATTGTTGGACACTAAGTTACCCCCTTGTTGTTGGTGTCTTTATTGCTAAAACATATTTCTACAATGCTAAATCTTTCAGCTGTTATAGAATTTAGATCAGGTTATATAATAAGCTAATTATCATGTCTGTGGTATGTTATGTCGTTCTATCTTGCTCATTTTGAATTTAGAAATTTTGGTACTGGTTTTGGCTTTTGAGTAGTTCATGAGATTGAATTTGGATCTAACTTATATACGATGGTTATGTCTTTGTGATGCTTTGTTGTCATGCACTGGGTTGGTTACTTTACCTCTAGTTTTGGTTAGTTGGAAGTAGGCTGCCTGCAGAGATACTATAATCTGTTTCTTAAATTTTATGCAGAAAGCTAATTTAATTGGTTTACAAGATAGTTTGCTGAAAGAACTGTGCCATCTCAAGGAGGTGTGTTTCATACTTTTATTATATATGTTTTGAAAGTTTACTGTCATGACATACACACAGGATATACTCTTTTGGTTTTGTCTTTACTATGGTATAGTTCATTGAATTATTTTTGGTCAATGGATGTGTATACGAATATCTGTCATTCATATTCGCCATCAAATGCGAGTGTTTATGTTGGCATTCAATTCCTTATGTGTTGATGTTTAAGGCGATTTCACTCCTACTCTTGGAATGGTTCAGTTTGTCCAACTTTCTGCTCTCAAATTCACGTTTTTATCATTTTGGTTGTGCAAGGGTGTCAATCCATTTTTAAGACAAGACAAATCCTTATATGTGCATCTAATAACCCACAAACTGTGTGCATCGGGTAATCCTGATGAGAGTCAAATGTGAGATGTCTGTTTTTGAGCTGTCGCATTGACAAGTCAACTACCTGCATGGATTCCCTTAAAGTTTTAAATAATTATGTTCCAGAGCACACTACAGACTGAATTTTTATTTTTATTTTTAGGACATTAAATCTTCATAAGCACTAATATGTATTCATTTAATTTAAGCTTTACATTATCCACTTTAATTTTGTGCAAGAATTACATTAAGATACACTAAAGAGACCATTGATTATAATGCGGAGGGATCACGTTCTTACCAGAGGTCCAGAATCAGAAATGTGTAAAAGTGAAATGACATGGGTATGGAGTAAGCAAGAAAAATGGTCCAAGAACTCTATGAGAGACCTGAATTTGGTAGGGATAGAGGGAAGTGGGGACTTGCAAGGGGCCTAGGGGCCATGCGCCCCTAAACTCCATACTCTTCTTTTAATTTTTTGTTGTTTCTACAAAAATTCCTATGAAGCTACCTGAGACTTAATATGGAATAATAGATTTGCATAGAGTGGCATTTTATCTCCTGAATTACATTGAAATCTGTTTAACTTCCAAAACTAGACACTTCCAAACTTTAGTTATAATATCCCTTAATGGTAGATTAGTAACTTAGTTCTTTTATAATATCCCTCTCCTTACCATTATGAAAGTGATATATTGGATTCATTTGGATTCATTTTTGTTTAGAGATTCTATTGAAACTCACCTACCACCAGTAGCTGTGGCAGTAAAATATTTCTTCCAAAATTTGATTTTATTCATTAGTTTTTTAAAATTTTTTGACTTTTAGTTTAGGTGACAGTTTTACTTTTATTAGAACATTTAATACAAAATTGCAACTAGTTCTCCACAAAAAAGACTGCCTTTCACCTCTCTTAGTGATCTTCAACAGGGGCGGACCCAGAAAGTTTGATTTTGGGGGGGGGGGGGGGGGGGGGGGGAGAATTAATTATATGATTTTTTTTTAAATAACAATAATAAAAGAGCAATAAGTTTCAGTCTACTATAATCTATTGTTGGAGGATTGGAATCAAACTCTCTTATCATATGAAGGGAAGCCCGACGTTGTTGTACTTTATTTTTATTTACAATATGAGTCTTAATATAGATTCATAACACCAATAAAATCTAAAATATGATTTACCCAGAAAATATTTTATAACCATTAAGTGTATATGAATGGCATAAATATTGTATAACCATCAATGGAAAATATTGTGTTACCATGAATTGCATACGAATGGCATAAATATGTAAAAATAATTAGAAATAAAGGTTCAAAAGATAAAATATGTATAATTTTAAGTTATTGTGTCAGGTAAATTAATGACAATGTAATGGTATAAAAAATATTGTAATTTTTTTTTAATCCTTGGTAAATCATCAAATTTAATCAATGAAATATTAAAGTGATTATAAGTAATTTTTAATCAATCAAACATCTTAATTATGACAGTATGATAACCAATGCAGCAAAAAATAGTATAAAATTGATATCCACAACAAACATATTGAGTTGCTTGATCCATTAATTGGAATTTCAATTTGTGAAAGAGAAGATAGAATTTATCTCACTTGGCTAACAAGACTTACATTGTAACAACATGAAGCATTCCCAAAATAAGACGTCAACAAGTTCCTATTGATATTATTAGTGAATTTTTGGTAGGCCAAATGTCAAGTTTTCTTTATATATTTTTAAAATTAAATTTTTATATGCATATTTATATTAAGTTTTTTCAAATTTTTTGAGGGTGCCAAATTTCAAGTTTTCTTTATATTTTTTAAAAGTCAAATTTTTATATGCATATGTAGTAATGGTTTTTAATATATATATATATATATATATATATTTTGTGTTTGGGGGGGGGGGTTCACATGTCCTTCCTTGGTCCTCACTATGGTCCGCCCCTGATCTCCATGCTCCATTTGCGAAAATGGAGGTCATCAAGAACTTGAAAATTACAGGGAAGGTTTTCTTGTGAGTTCCTGGGGTAGGTATTATAAGATTGTTTTAAGTTTTCTGGGCATTTCTTTGTAACCCCCCGGTCTTCTATCAGACTTGTCTAATCATTTACCATCTAATTTGATGGAAATTTTGTCTTTGCTTGGGAAACGGGTGTCCAACTTATGATTAAGTTTCCTGGTAAATACGGGAAAGTATCATATGCTGGGAGTTATTTTTAAAATGGATCAAATTAGCCAAATTTCTTTTTATAGTAAGCACATGGTTAGGCTGAATGAATTTCTAACTTGATTTGCTTTCTTCCTTTCTCTTTCAGTGCTAAACTTGTTTTTTTTTTTGTTTTTTTTGTTTTTTTTTGTTTTTGTAGAAGTCAGCTTTAGGGGCTTCAGTAGTCATGGGGAGAAATGGATTTAATACCTCAGAAGTGTTGCAGAAAGGACAATCTGGTAAATCACTACAGATAGAGAACTTCATTGAGCCAGTACTGTGGTTCTTATTAATGTTCCTCTTTCTGTTTATAAATGTGTATATATATTTTATTGACAATGGTGGTCGGGCCTCTTAGAGCACCCCATGGTCTACCATCGGGCACATGCAGTCCATTCATTGCACATGCACTGGGCATTTACTAAAAAGTTCCCTAGGGGTGGCCTCAAGGGATTCGAACTCTCAGCCTCCAAGATGTGAGGTGAGAGCCTTGCCACTAGGTTATCCCCTTGGGATTTCTTCCTGTTTATATGTAGTTTATATATTTTTTTTTACTTTTGTTAGTAGCTAAGATTCTTTAGTTTTAACAGCAGACCCAAAGCTGTATACAATTAATTTAGACCCAGATATGTATTACATGTTTGTAGTGTTTTGGACAGAAGTGAGTTCCGACCTAAAGACAAACATCTTATAGCTTAAATACACAATGATGCAGTTACGGAAGTATGAGAAAGATCTTGATAAAGTTAAACAAGGAAAGAAATGCATCATGGACATTTTTGCCTCTTATAGTTTTATACCTGATGCTAGTTTTGGTTTTGCATTCTATTTTGTTCACGGCACCTTTTGGGGACATTTCTGATAAGATCCAATCCTTTCCCCAAAACTCCATTTTCTTACTTGTTAGTGCCTTAACATAAACACAACTATAAAAATCAAGCTTGAAAAGATTCTTGGGAGATGCAAAGAAATATGTTCAACTTTTTTATGGATGTTTTGGTCTGATCATCAGCGAGCCTTTGAAGCCATAACTTTGAGTAGCATAGACTAATTATGGAGTTCTCATCAAAGGGGCCTTTCCACAATACCGAAACCAAAATGTTTATATTGAAAAACCACTTTTTCAGAACATTTTTTCTAGAATTTGTTTTAGGTGACCTAACACACATAACTCACTGTTAGGTGGTAACTTGTATACTTCTAATTAATTTACAAAGGCCCTATTCTATACATAAATATAAGCCCTGTCTATTGTATGCTATCAGATGGATGAAATTTTAAATTTTGAGATCCCAAATTTGATTGAAGCTTGTTCAAGATTCTATTACAATACAACCAAAACCTTGTTATGGCAGACTTGCTTACTAGATTCTTAGTTGCCTATGAATTGTGGTTCCAAACCAGCAGTATTGCCTGTTGTAGGAGATTTGGACAAGGATTTGGATGTAAATTCTCATATGGTAACCTGGCAGAACAGAAGCTCATCAACTTTTGCAATCCCATTTTGAGGAACTGTTGTAGCCCTTGGTCTGTTGAGTTTAATTGAGTCTTCAAGAGAGAGCTTGTTATAATTTTCCAATTGACGATGTTTGTTTAGTCATGTAGAAGATGAGTTCCATAGAACTTTATGAATTAGATGTATTACTGTTGAAACCTAGCAAGCATAGATACGAACATGGGTATGACGCGGAGACGTGACGAATTTAAAAAAAATAGGACATGGATATGACAAAAATAATAATATAATATATTATTATGTATTAAACTATAGTTTTTGGTCATTTTTTCCACGTTATCATTTATGAAATCACTAATATGGAGGTTAGAGCTAGATGTTTGTTGTTTTTGTTTTCTAAAATTTTATGTTATTTTTCTAATTAACCATTATATTTTTAAACGACATTGGGATCACATTCTTCTAATATACGTATATATGTATATTACAGAACTACCCTGCCGCGTCCTGAAAGAGTCCATGCCGTGCTCAAAAAAAAAAATCAAATTTCATATTACTTCTAGCCGTGTCATGCGCTTGTCCGCCAAGAAAAAAAAAAAAAAAGAAAGGAAAAGAAAATTGATGTTACCTGTAGGATTAGAACCTGCTTAATGATTTATATATGAATATATATTTCATATAATACTTTTCTTTTTTATACTTTTGGTGTTTTTTTCTTCATATTTTAATTTTTATTTAATCACTTACTCCCTTTGTCCCAATTAGTAGTCCATCTTTCCTTTCAGGGATGTCCCAAATTAGTTGTCCCATTTGAAAATTACAAACAAAACAAATGCTATCATTCTATAATTACCATTTAAGTTTTAAAAAATCTCAAAACCTAGTAATATACATATTTAAACTTAAAGGGACAACTTGTTAATTTTAAAAGGGGACAATGGATTAACTGCATGCCCCCTTAAAAAGTCCTAATAATAAAATTGGACAACTAGTAGGGACGGAGGGAGTATCAATTTAAACTTGAGAATTTTTTTGAATATTAAAAATGCATGTTAATTTGATTCATGAATTACTTCGAACTGTGTTTATTCATAAAACTATTGCAGGAAATACTTCCTAATGTGTTTATTCATAAAATCGTAGTAGAAATTACTTTCAACTGTGTTAATTTATTAAATTGTAATAGGAATTAGCAGATTCAGGTAATTCTGTCATCCCTCCCCCTCCCTCCCTCCCTCCTCCTTCTCCCGGTTAGAAACAAAGGAATTTCACTATGTAAATAAACTGCTTCATGCCTAATGCTGTGGTATCGGATGCACCAACCAACAAGGTAGTCTTTCACTATATCTGCTACCCAAGGAGTTACTTGAAGATCATCAGAACTTGTAGAATTCCTCCTTCTATAAAGATCTTAGAGCGTTGCCACAGGAACATTGAACTCTTGACCATAGCGAGATGGAAAGAATTCTCTTCCTGAAAATTAATAAACTCTACCAACATAAATTATGTTTAATACTTTGTATAGAGAGGCCAAATTTGAGGTAAATACCTAGATATATACAGAACTACTTGCTCCAATAATAAGCAGAAAAAATTATGAATCCTTGGTCTGTTCAGTAGCTTTCTGGTTTGTGGATATTTAATTTACCACATTCTAAATAAGTAATCTGTCCTTATCTTCTTGTAACATTGTTGATTTATCTAGATCAAAATATGTACTTTCTACTTCTCCTATTTTGTTCAGTGAATTCTATTGGCTCCTATTTACTCTATTAAGTTTCTATGTGTGATTTGTTAACCTCCTAGAACCTAGTATTGCTTACTCTGATGACTTTGATACTTTTGGCAACATGAATGCAATTACAGCCTGGATTTAATACCTGGAAAGTTGTTATGTAGGACTTAATTTTGGCACGAATATCAGCAGATGGGGATCTTTTCACTGCAAATTTGTATTGGAGGTACATCTTTGGCTGCAGGCTGCGTTCTTTTGACTATATATGTACTTATCATAATGTTATTTCCTAGTGATTAAGTTGTTTTGCTGCTTGGTCTTGGGGCTGTGTTTTCTTCTATTCATTAATAATGATCAATTTATTCTCCATATAACCATGAATGAAATTCACTAATTTGGAACTTAGAGCTAGATGTTTGTTATTTTTGTTTTCTTAAATATTATATTATGTTTCTAATTAACCCATAATATATTTTAGATTATATTAAATCTCATTCTTCTAAAAGAATAATAACAATAATTGCCGTGTGCTGAAAGTGTCCAAAACGTATCCTTGCCATGTCTCAGCCGTGTCCAACCAGAAAATAACATATTTATATTTTAAAATAGTTCTAGCCGTATCCAACGCGTGTCTGGGCTGTATCCACATGTGTGACACGTGTCCAATACCGCCACAGCACCCCTAGGTGGAGTATCCGTGCATCCTAGCTTGGAGCTCTCACTCAATCTTACTCACAAGAATGCACTCTTTTCTAAAAAAAAAAATTCTCAATGTATGCTTGGATATGCTTTTCTCTGTGCTTCCCTTAATTTTTTAAAACTTTTTGTGTTCATATAGAACTTTGAATCAGGGTAGGGTTAAAATGGTTTTGACATATAAAACTTTTGAGTTACAATTGGAAATTACTTTCCCGTAGGTTTTGATCAATCGAGACTCAGGTTCAATCGATTGGTCAAACCTAGTCCATTGGATTTCGATTTGCCCTTTGGTCTATCGAACTCTCCTGCCCACTACAATTAGGATTTGAGTTTTGTAAAACAGTTTCATGCATTCTAAAACATGTTTTTTGAAAATCCTAACATGTTTAATGAAATAGATGAATGCATACGTGAGTGCATAATTTGACAGTTGATATTAACTTTTTGCCCTTGCTTGATGCTTTGAATTCCCATTAACAAAAACTAGAATAAAAGATGCAGACTCTAGTTTCGTATGAAATTTGCCAACACAAATCCTATTGGCTAAACACTTCCCTTTGGTCGTGCAAATAAAAAAAAAATAAAAGCAGAAACTGCAATGGGGTGTGTGTATATATATATGGATAGATAGATAATAGTGACTTGGAATTGATTTTCAACATACAAAGGTAACCTGATAGATCGATAGATGCTGACTTGGTACTTTTCTCACATCATGAGTTTCTTTTATTTTCTGACTGGAGAGTTTAATTTTGTGAAAACTAAGTTACAAGCTTTTACCATGTCTTTTCAATAAGTAAAGCTAATCCAACAAAAACATTTCATTTGTTGGCTGTCCTTATTGTCAGCAATTATTAATCAGTTTATCAAGTGTTTGATGTCCAGGGATGATAATTTTTCCTGATGTGATCTGCTTAAACTTCTCCTGGTTGTGTCTTTCAGACTCCTCCTACAATTTTTATCACTTTAGGAAGTTAACTACTGTCATGTGTTTGTATCTAATAGTTTTAAACTTCGCAGCTTGAGATGGCAGTAGACAATGCACGCCTTTTTGATATGGATGCCCATAATCGAACTCTAATTGTTGCTCGAAGGATTTCTGGGATGGGTGGGACACATATGCTCAACAAGGTAAATTTCTTTGTCGAAGAAGAAAATAAATATGGTAAGATGTAAACATTCATGTGGTTTACTACTTTGGTCCAACTTTTATGAGGTTAATTGGATTCAAACTTGCTTCTGTAGATCAACTTGATCAATCCTAATGAAAATGAAGACATAGAGCTTCCTTCAAGTATGAAAGCTGTTAAAGATCTACGTGTTTCCCCTTGTAGTAGACTTGCACTCTTAGCTTCACTTGGGAAAAAATTATCGGTTCTGAGGTGTACCTATCATCTCCTCTTTGTCAAATGGTTTTCTCTTTATGCTTTGTACACGAATTGACATAACTTGCTCTATATCATTGTTTCAGCATGGGTGGCAACAATGTTATTATCAGTTATGATTTACCGGTAAAACTTTTCTCTTCTTATATATATTCTTTACAAAATCTGGATGTATGTTCACCTTTTGTACTGTTTTTCACTGCCTTTCCAACCTGTTTTAAAGTACCATTTCTGTGAAATTGGTCACCCTTCTGATTCATTTTGTATTATTTCCCAAGGAGTTTTCTTATTGTTTAAAATATTGATTGATAGCGTACATTAATGTTGCTCAACATAATATCAGTACCACGAGGTGCCAATACAAGGCTAAATCTTAAGCATCAAGTTACTTTGGAAAATGATTAGTCTTATTCTAATGAGATGATCATTATTGGTAATGTATTCATATCATACAAGAAGTCCCAATTAGTAATTCATTACTATGAAAGTGAGACATATCAAGGTAGTATTACCAGTGAGTAGTAATTACCAAGACTCTTCTTTTTTTCTTTTTTAAGATCAAAGTAAGAATTGAAACCTTAACGCCACTCTTGTCTCTTGGATGTCATGACATCACTTACCAATTGTGCTACATCAGCTCTGTCCTCATTTTAACTTTTCCATTCTCTTTCTTGGTTTGACAAAATCCTATGTCTTAAATGCTTTAGCAAATTTTGAGGTTGGAATTAATCTTGAATTGCTTTGAAAAATTTAGTGAGTTGGCTATTTAGTCAGCTATTCATAATGGAACAAAAATGTTGGATAGTGAAGAAATATGTCATAGAAATTGGCATAGTTCAAAGGATGATGTGAACATGGATGAGTGGTAGTCTAAGTTAATAATGGCAAAGAGATGAATTCATTACTGGAAAGTAAGATGTGGCACTCATTGAAGAGATAAGCGGGATGAAGTCATTTAAGATGGTTTACCAATGTGCGTAACGTCATGCCCCGCCTCTGGAGGTTACGTCACGCAGGCGACACGCGCACTGAGTCGGATGCTACATGGCGCCTGCATGGAAGATGAGTTTCTAAAGTTCTCCAGAATTGTGTGTAGTATATGGAGAGTTCTAGAATGTTGTAGATGTATGTAGATATTTGTAAATTGTAGTGGAAGAGTAGAGAAGGTGGGAGAAGGTTCTAGAGAATCAATCTCCACCATTGGTTAGAATGCATCTTAGCCATCCATTAGGGATGGGGATGCCAATAACTAGGGAGTGAGTTTCATTTGTAGCCAACAAGAAGCTCCAAGAGTAGAAACTCCAAGTGCGGGGTAAGGAGCCACCAAAGGTAGAGTCTTGTATAAAGTCTTCTTTGTAGTAATAGAGGCATTCTTTCCCTGCCAACCAGTAGTGCCTATAAGTGTGTGTGAGTGTGCAAGCCAAGTTAGGAGAGGGCGAGAGCCACTACAACACTAGTGAGTGCACAAGCAAGGAGAGTGTTTGTGAGGTGGTGCGCGGGAGTTAGGCTGACCAAGGCCTTGCAGGAGCAGAAGCGACGCCTTGGTGCCACACGGGAGTGGCTAGAGTGGTGCTGAAACTCTAGGCCCGTGAGTAAGCTTTAAAGGTCACCGAGTGCATCACTTAGGATAATTGATTCAATTTATGTAGAAGGAGCTAAAGGATTAAGAGGAATACCACCCGTCCTAAAATTCTTGTTCCTTTTTCCATTTTTTGGATGTCATTCTTGTCCCATTTGAAAATTTTAATGTAAAAAGATAGAATGTTTCTCAAAATATCCTTAACTTTTGAAAACTTCTGAAAAAATAAACTTTAAAATGGATAGTCTTGAAATTTAAAGAGAGGACAATGCATTAAATGCACGTTTCCTTAAAGAGTTGGAACTCTAAAATGGGTCAAGAATTTTGGGACGGAGGAACTGACAAAAAGAGAAAAAAAGATACATGATTTAAAGTGGCAGGTTAAAGATGTGATGCCTATGATTTAACAAAATTATAGTTTTAGATAGATTGGAATGATGGAGAAAATATTAGTGTAGCAGCCGTTGCTGGCTCCAAATGTTGGGAAATAAAGATTTGTCTACTCCAGATAAGAAGGTTTCGTATTGTATATATTATTACTCCCTCTGTCCCAAAAAGAGTGTCTCTTTTGGGATACTGTCCCAAAAAGAGTGTCTCTTTTGGGAAATGGTGACTCACTGGGTCACCATATCCCAAAAGAGACGCTCTTTTTGGGATGGAGGTAGTATTATTCATAATGTTCAAAGTGATGTCAGAAAGATCAAAGATGTAGGATTGCAGAATTACACAGGACAAATAACTATCTAAAAAGGCTGCTGCTCTAAAGATCCCACCTGCTGGATCTTATCCTTTGCTTGCCAAAGTCACCTCGCTCACTATTCTAGCTCCCCTTGCCTAGTGTTTATTAGATAGGGTCAATTAGTAGATTCACTGATAGAATAATAAGGGATAAAAGCCCATCGAGACACATGGTTACGCCAGTAAAACATGCAGTATTATGCCATGAATAATGATTTTAGACTGACAAAGTGGTAGAACTTGTGTCTCAAATTCCTAGTTTAATTAGGTTTCTATTTTAGAGTTGTATTTTTTTTTGATAATTTCTTGTTAGACAAGTCTTGGGCTCCAAGGAATTGTAATCTTTGTCCAACATGGAATTGTCTTTGTAACTCTATAAATAGATACCTAGGTTGTGGGTTGAGACTTAAGAGATTGAGAGAGATATAGCTTCACGAGGGAGTTGATGGGTAATGGTTCTTTATGGGTTGATAGAGTAAGAAAAACACCGGTGGCACTGGTAGACAGGAGATAGGCTCGTGGAGTGGTACATGGTGAGAAGACATGTACGTGGTGTCGGTACTCTTCTGATGTAATATCTCTACGAAAATCATAGTGGAATCTCTTCTCATCCGTGGATGTAAGCCAGTTTTGGCTGAACCATGTTATATCTTGTATTTGTGTGTGATTTGCTTTGTTGGCTTTCATTGGATCTTTGTGTCCTCTTGCTTCCGCTGCCCCCAACACAAAGAATCAGAGAACTGAAGTTACAGTGGCCTTGCTTTCCAAAGAGAGTTTTTTTACTAGTATGTCAACCTAACAATCCAAAGTTCAACTTCTTCAAAGTTCCTCTTGAAGATTTTCTATTGTGTATGTTCCCGGCCGAATATACTAACAGACATCATGCAAAATTCTTCCATCCCTCACAACAGTCCAACCCTAGTAGACAGTCTTCCAAAATTCTTTACTTATCTCTAGTACTTGTTAGGTCAATAGGACTTAGGTTGGCAAATTTCTTATGTTGTACAAAGCTTTCTTTTAGTGTAAAAACAGTTATAATTTTTAAGAAAAATCAAATTGAGCTTATATAAAAATTATGTATAACGACCATATTTAAAATCAAAAGAAGGAAGGTTTTAGTGTAAGAGTGGGTATCGAAATAGGAGTCATCAAATTATGTGTATACATGCACATACCTATTTACATAAATATACTAGTGCACTCCTACAGATATATTTTATGTCCTTGATATGCCTTTATTTATGCGACATGGGTAATTATAATTTTGTGATTTATAGGTAACAAATACAATCATAAAAATTTATTTATCTTGTTTAATATAACTTATATATATTTTTGTTGTCATCTTCTGACCTTGTCAGTGTCCCAATTTTTAAAAATATCCCTTGTAAAATATAAATCTATCCGTATCTTTTCATGTCTATACCTATGCTTCTTATTTATCAACTGTTCTGTGACGGTCATAGTGTTGGAAGGGCTCTCTGGAAGCTCTTCCTAATTTGCTCTTTTGGTTTATGTGTTGGATAAAAACTCCTGGGAATTCAGTTGGGATTCCTTATGATCTTTCAACTGCTAGTGAGATATATGGTTACTTTCTTGAATGTCCAAATCCCTTCATTTAAAGGCATTAGAGTTTCACACACGCACACACACTAATACACACCGAAAGATAGATTATGTTTGTCAAAAGTTAACAATGGGTTACATAAGTACGAAGTAGGCATAAACCTTGCCTCTCCCACCCCACCTCACTCCGACCAAAAAAAAAAATGAAGGCATGATTTAATCCAATGTCTTCAGCACAACACCTAAAGACATTAGTAGCAAGGTAGCTGACTCCTTTATAATTACTAGAGTTCCCATATTTGTTCTTGAATATTATTATCTTGTTATTTTGGAAAAATAAAATTTTAAAGAAAAGTAGTTGCCTCAAATATATTGTTGTTTTTGTTGTCTTGTTTGAAATTGTTGGAGCATTGTATTTCAGGCACCAGCATGGTCTTGCTCATGGGATCTCAACAGTCCTCATTATATGTATGCTGGATTACAGGTTCAATCCTCAACCGTCGTCATTGTTTTTCAACAATTTATATTTACCTAGTCTTCAAGCTATGCTTGATAACTCAGCATTTCCAGCAGTTGTAGTTTCCAAGAGAGTTGTAACATATATTGCGCTCTTGTTTTTAGCTGCTAAGGATTTTTAAGGGGTCCATGCTCCATTTAATTTTAGATTGGGTCTCTGGCCCATGAGAGTCCTTTACTTTTGGGTTAAATGTTCTCACACTTCCTGAGGTTTCATTTTATTGCTCTCATATTAAACCTCAACCAATTTTGCTAGTACACCCCCACGAGGTTTGGTTTATCTTGCTGTGACACCCCTTTTTTATCAAATTGATAAAACATAATACCTAAATTACCCTCCATGGTTTTATGTAAATATAATGCCAATTTAATGGACCAAAATAACCCTAACAATCCTGGCCAACCCAAACACCACCACAATCACAGTACCACTGGAAGAGCATAAAACAAACCATGGTCACCCCAACCGCCACCACCGCCACCACACCACAACCACCTGGGAGGGGGAAAAAAAAAAATAGAAGCCATGGCCATCACTATTTCTGCAAAGTCATTCATATAGAATTTACCAAAAAAAAAAAAAGAAACAGAGGTTAGTTTACCAAAAAAACATGATATAGAAAAAAAAAAAAAAAAAAAAAATCCATTTTAGTTTCCAAATAAAAAAAAAATTCCATTTTATTTTCCTTCCATTTCTCGGCAACCAAACAGAGAATTCACAAACCTTCCAATCCAGTTCCAAATCAATGAACGCAACAAACATTCGTGCTGGCATCTGAGATCGGAGGTTTATAATCTGAGGGCGGAGACGATGAAATCGACTGTTTTGATGGTGAAGGCTATGATGTCGAGTGGGAGGGCGGAGACAATGAAATCGACTGTTTTGGCGGGGGAGAGGACGATGTTGATTGTGACTGCGGAGACGATGATATTGATTGCGGCGGCGGCGGTGATGAGATCAAATGCGGCAGAGGAGGCGATGAGATGTACTGTGATTGGTCGAAATTGACGGCGAAATAGAGAGGGGACTGAGTGGTAGTAAAGAGAAAGAAGGTGACGGATAGGAGTAAGACGAAGAGAGAGAGAATGAATGGATATTCTCTCCTTGAGGAGGTTTTGAAGAACGGAACTTACCGGCGACGATGGAGTCCGACAGTGCACTGAACTTACCAGCGAGGATGCGCGGTGTGGTGGTGTTGGTGATGCAGGACAGAACCGCGGTGAGAAAATTGTTCAAGCCGCTGGGTCTCTGTATGCAACCCAAGCTTTGCCCACAGCATCCCGCAGCGACCAGTAAAGGTCGCTGATTACTGTAACCACCAGGTCACTACGACAACCTGGTTCTTCCATTACCGACCAACCTCCTTGGTCGCCTCCTTTCAACCACGCTGCCCATTCCCATATACTAGGTCATGTAGCAACCTGGTTTTCCTCTTTTAGCGGTGACCATTGAGGATTTTATTTTATTTTATTTTTATTTTATTTTTTTTGGTTTTGGCAATTAAATAATAAAGGGTAATATTGTTATTTCACGTTTTACTTGCACATGTCAGCAATGACATAAGCATGAGATTTAATAAAGTCAAGGGTATAATAGTAAAAACACTTTTTTCATATTTTTTATAGGGGGTGTGAGGGCAATTTTGGCTGAGGTTTAATATGAGAGCAATAAGTCCAAACCTGAGGGGGTGTGAGAGCATTTAACCCTTTGCTTTTTCATTTAACAAGTCATTATGATGCTATTTTTTTTTTGGCCAAAAAATGTAACAAATTGTTTGGAATTAGATGATAATTTAAAGTTCAATGTTCTCTTCTCATTCTGGTTTTGCAGAATGGTAAACTTTTGGTGTTTGATATGCGTCAGACTATACTTCCTGTTAAATCCATTGATGGACTGACCTCACATCCAATTCATACCATACACTCTTTTGAGCATGACCCTGCTCTTCCTCACATTTCTACGAGGCTCCTTACAGCATCTTCCATTGGCCCATGTGTGTGGAACAATATTAGTGCCAGAGAAAGGTCGGTCTTGTTGACTTGTGGTATATATTTTCCGGGTATTTGTGGCATGATTTGTGCTTTTTATTTAAAAGGGTGCACTTTCAAGAGATATATTGTTCATCTGATTTAATTTTGTTTTTTGTTTTTGTTTGCATATGAATCTTCATTAATATGCTTTGACTCCTTGTTGCTGTAATCTGAATTAGTTACAGCCTTCCCTTAACACTAGGTTTTCAATTCGAGCTGTCTGGTGTCAACTCTTAGCAAAAAAGAGCGTTTCCTATGTGCGACTACGTTTCAACAGTTTGACAACAACAAATTATAAGCGGACTGAATTCAATCTGATTGGTCATGTAGGTTCATCTAAACTATCTCATGCTAATTTAAAATAAATAAAAAACCATGGAGAGTGGAGCTATGTATTTTTTAAAGAATTAGGGGATCTGTTAATGTTTAGACTTACATTTCATAGTGAATAGCATGGAACATTCAGAATAGCGTTTCTTGAAACCAATATTTGTTTTGGGGTATTTAAATTCATTGCTTATGCGTTGTTATTTTCATTTATCCACACCTCTTTCTAAGTCAAAGAGAAATGAGTTAAGTTTTCAACCAGCTCTAAAAAGTTAGTGTCAAATATGATTAGTCTTGATAACTCCATTTTCTACTCTAAAATTGAAACAACAAAATATGTAAAGATGCTTTGAAAATTATTGTGGTTAGCATTAATGCTAGTGTTTGGGAGAATATATGAGAAGTATATGACGTGTGAGGAAAATTTATTTTATTAAAAAATGTATGAAATGCATGTTTACATAAATGAATTAAGAACACAGCCCATTCCCCCGGAGTGACCACAATAAAGAGAAAGAAAAAAAATGTATTCAAGTATTATGACTACGGCTATCCCCGTCATTTGCTATCGAACATGCTGTTGCATTAACACTCAAAGTGGACATTGAATTATGAATAAAAAGAAAAATTGAAATGATTTTTTCTAACTTCCATAACATGATAGATACGTGATCTTAATACTGGATAGAATACCTTGCCTTTCTTTTTGTGTCACTGGTATTACTGCTACAACTAGTGGCGGTAGTGCTTCAATAATGTAGGGCAGGTGCTACCTATCCACGTAGTCAAAACAGATCATTAGGATCCTCATCAGCCATCAACTATGTAACCCAATAAATGAACATTGAATTCTGCAGGTTTCAAAGTAAAGAAAATGTTGTCGGCTACCAAAAAGAAGAGAAAAAAATGTAGTGACTATCATCGGTCATCACCCCTGCCATGGGATAAATTTTTTTTTTTTAATGCATTTTGGTGGGTGATAGGCCATATCCATAAATACTTAGATGTGCCAGCCCATGGTTGGAACCTCCATGCGGGAATGAAGACTTAGAGGTGGAGTTATTTGCTTAGTTGTTATTAACCTCCATACAAGTAATAGATTCCTTTATTGCTTGCACATTGATCTTGCTTTCTCATTTTAGGTTTGGATGCTTATTGTTTATTGCTTATTGACTTCCTTCACTGTACTTTAACTGTAAAGAAACAGAAAAGTTATTTCTTCTTTCCATTTGTCACCCAGATCACACCACTCAAATGTTAGGTTATTGAGAAATGCAATATATGCATCAATCTTATCCATTTTACATGCATGTAAGACTTATTTGAATCTGAATAAAAAGAAAATTTATAAAGAGACTTGATTTATTGGAAAAGATTTGGTGTGAAATCCATATTAAACAGATCCTCCTTTAAATCAGAAGTTGGTTTCCTCACTTAGATATTTACACAGACCGTTTGAAGTTATAGAAGGAAAGAGAGGTAAAGGGAACTTGGTAGGAGTATCACCTTGTTAGTTCAAAAATTACAGAACTTGGAATCCTACCAAGGAAGTATTGAATTTACCTTTTTTTCCGGGGAAAAAACGATTGATTTTACTTAGCAGGCGGCAAACAGTCTCAAAGAAAATAATATAGAAGAGGTAAGGAAAAGAGTATAAAGTAGTGTTAGAGGAGAAGTCCTTGAGGAAAGGATCAAGAATATAGGAAATCAAAGCACAATGACAAGCAATAGTGTGATAGCATTAAGAGAAAATGCTTCGGAATTTATTAATGTCAAGAGAGTGTTATTATCATGCACTATTGTATTATATTTTGAACTTTAGCGTCAACACAATAGCTGCAACAATGTATATATTATCGTTGAACTAGGATCTGTGAACATTGATTAAAGCCAAATGTTACTTTGGACTAGAATCTGCTTACAAAACTTGTACCCAATCTATCCACCTTACTTGGATATTAGATCACTATGTAAAATGAGGATGGGAACGCAGTAATCTGATTGCTCAGAAATGTGGTATGGTATGGTTGAGCTCATTTACATCGCCCGCTGGAATGTGATGAAGCTAATTTAGAATGCTCAAGGGGTTCTCCTATTACTGAAATGGAAGACTCCTTTGATTAGTAACACTAGCACTGATTGCCATATATGAAGATGCACTTGTTCGTATGAGGTTTTTTAAACATGACCAGAAACAGATGCTACTTGTGCAAAGCTGTCCAGTAAACCCTTACAATTTTATGACACTCTTATGATTTTTCTCTTGTCGGTTACCAAATGTAATGTCCTGAGAACCAAGGAGTATTTATAACACACAAGTTTTGGAAGAACTTAGAAGTTAGAATGGAAAAGTTTACATAGAAAAATTATAATAATGAGAGAATCTGATAGGAAAAAGAACTGAAATGTCATCTTTGATATGCTGTAAATTCTTATAAATTTGAATTGTAGTAGACACAATAGTAAAAAATGCAGTCATAGTAGAGAAAATAAAATCTCCTTAGGGTGGTTCCGATATTTATTATTTTTTAGGTTCTATTGAAATGTACTGTATTTCACTTATACACTGTACACTGCTATATTAACTGCACTAATGCCATAAATTTTGTGGTTTTACTAACGTTTCTTCTGTCTTACCGCAGGCCATTTCTGGTCCCCGAATTAGAGAATCAAGGCAGGTGTATATCACTTGCTTACAGCCCCTCAAGTGATGACATTCTTGCTACATACCGTCCTGGATTACCTATATCCAATGAAACTGGCAGTTTACAACCACATTCACTTGCTGCACATGAACAAGGAACACTGTGTTCTCAGATTCTTGTCAAGAGAGTGGCTGGTAGCTTTTATCATAAATTAGCGTCTACATCTGCACATGTGGGTGATGCTTTATTGACAAAGTCTGCCATTATAAATGTTGAGAATTGCTTCCCACTGTTTGCTTGTGGAGATGATGTAACATGTGGATTAAGATTGCGGGAATTGCCAAGTTTAACTGTAAGCCAGGCTCTTAAACCACATCAGTATCCCATTCTTGATGTGAAATATGCACAGTTGCATAGCTCCGGTATACTAGGTTGCATAAGTGAAGACAAATTGCAACTTTTTTCTGCAAAGATTTCGTGAGAAAGGTATTTTTATTACTGCTTCTGGTTTTTGATAGGTTAAGTATTGCCTCATGTATAACTATACCCTACACTGGCACTTGACATTTATTATTGTCAGTGTTATCCTTTGTGTTTGACTTTAAGAGAGAATCAAATCAAGAGTAAAGTATACAAAGAAGAAGAAAAAGAGAAGATGGTTATAGTTAAGACTGAGATTGTAGATGTTTCTGCTTTTAGTCCAAGTTCTCTTTACCATGAAAGCTTGTTAGAATGCACCAATTGCACTAGGACATGGCGCCCTTGTCATGCGAGCTCTAGCATGGGGCTATTTAACATGGGGCTATTTAACATTTATGTTATGTTATTACATTCTAAAACATCACGATGACACTGATGCAGAGAAAGACAGAAGGAACAAAAAAGCTCCTGCTGATAATTAGTTTTTGCAATACTCGTTTCCCTATTAAACTATAAAATCTGAATAGTTTATTTAAATTAGTTTCACTTCATCACTTTGTTACCCTTGCATAATACTGATGCATACGTAAATAATGATAATATTAACTGGTTTTTGATGTTGCTTGTACTCATACATTCTTCAATTTTTAGGGCGGTCGCAGCTTTTTGAAGTGCTGTTCAGCTATATACCGTACATGTTTTTGACCTGGCACTAATTTTTGTGAGTAAATTACATGATCTTTGCTTGTGTATATGAATGTGAATATATGGCTTTTAAATGTTATTAGCTTTGTTTAACTTTTAGATGTAGTTGTGAGATGTGGGGGTGGTTTTTTTTTTTTTTTTTTTTAAACCACAAATGTGGAAATTAGAATTTGTTAGGCTTGAAATAAGCAGTCGTCACTTCCAGACGTATATGATCGAGAAGAGGAAAAGGTAGTTCTGATTGGTTCTCAGAGCTAGATATTACAGAAATCTAAATGCCCTTGTATATAATATATATGTATATAGATACACATATTTCACGAATCAGATTTCTTGAGCCTCTAATGTTTCAAACTTCTAAATAATTGAATAAGAGGCTTGATTGCTCCAATTGTTCAGGCTTGGGTATGAGAATTCAGGACAAGGAAGAAGTTTTGCTTAATTGTTACCGGTCTTGTGCTAGAAGAGTGGCCGACTCCTACCACTTTGGATGAGACATCTTCACAATGTTTAAATTGTTCTAACTAGTAAGAATTTTCTAAAACCTTCACCATCCCTGTTCCACCCTTAATATATATACGAAACAAGTGCAGAAAACACCCTTAAATTATACTTTGCATAACACTTTTATCCTTTATTTAAAAAAGTGTACAAAAAACACTCATAATCTTTTCATATTGTGCAAAAAAAAGGGGGTATATATGCTACTAATATCATAGTATAGGGGTGTTATGTACACATTACCTTATATATATATATTTTTTGAAACTTTTTTCTCTATATATATTTCTAAACTATATTTTTTTAAAAAAACTTTGAGAATTTGTAGAACAAAGATTTGAATTTTTTGAGATTTCAGTTTTCTCTTTTTCTATTAAAATTTGTTTTTCTTTATTTTATTTTATTTTGTACCAAACATTGTTAAAAAAAAAAAAAATTCCCAATATTAGTGTGTACTGGTTTTTGGTTCAGCTTTATTTTCTTTAGTTTGCACTTAATTTTAATTTTTTTTCTTACCGATACTGTTAAAAAAAAAAAAAAATTCAATATCAGTGTGTACTGGTTTTCGAACCAGATTTGTTTTCTTTAGTTTGCACTTTATTTTTGTTTTTTATTTTTTATTTTTATCTTTATATTTCTTCTATACTTTTAATTTTATTTATTTTCTTTACTTGTCCATTGTCGGCCTCCTCCAATTGTATTATTTTCGGTCATTTTATAAAATTATTTAATTTTAAGTATTTTATACAATGGTGTTCAGTAAGGGTAATTTAGTCAACATAGAGTTTAAATTTGTTTGAGGGATCTATTTGCATCAAATTGAAAGTTTAGGGTTGTTTTTGCACGCGTGGAATATCCTTCAATAGTGTCATTTTCGGTTATTTTACAAAATTATTTATTTTTATAAAATGGTTCAGTGAGTGTAATTTAGTCAACTCAGTGTTTAAATTTGTTAGAGGAACTTATTTGCACCATATTGAAATTTTAGAGGTTTTTTTGGCACATGAGGGGTGTGATATGCACTGTAAGCATATTTTAAGAGTGTTTTTTTGTACTTGATCCATATATATATATATTATATTGAGCCAAGATTGAAGAACAATGTTGTAGTCCAATGGTATGATCAATCCTACCCAAAGGGGAGATTAAGATTTCAAGTATCATGAGAGGGACGTATTGTGGATAATGGGTGTGCGCTGTCATCTCTGATCCAAATGTGAGGTCTTATTTTTATTTAAGCTACATTAATAGAATTTTTCGTTGTCATTGGGAACTCCGCTTTGAGCATTTGTACCTCTTAACTTTTATTCTACCATTTTAATTGTGGACTGCAATCACTATTTTCGTGTTCTACTGTAACAACCCCCCTTCAAAATATAATAGAATGTTAATAGCACATTAGAATATTTGACTATTTATTTTATTTTTGGGCTTATTCCAATAGTAGAAATGCACCTTGTGTTATATCTTAATGAGAAAGGAGAACTGATCTAAAAAGTAAATTAGTTACTTCAAAGATGTTAATCGAATCCAATCCAATTCAAAACACCAATTTGATATGTCTCTTCAACATATTTCAATATGTTTCTTTTATATTAAAAGTTGACAAATTATGTAATAAGTTGAACACATTAAATTGACAAATTATTTAATAAGTTGAACACATTAAATTTAAGTTTTACTCACATTACAAGAGATAAGCTAATACATTAAATTCAAGTTGTTATTCTAACAAATGAAACTTTTCAATTGGATTAATAAAGGGATAGATTTCTCATATTAATGTTTGAACGACTACCACTTTGCCTATCCTGAAATAAATGTCACTTCTTATATATATATATATATATATATATATATATATATATATATGAGAAATGATAAGTTTTTCGATCTCAATTACTGACTCTTCCTAAGAATACAACGTGGTTGGATCACGTTAGAACTCTTAAAAAAAATCCCGTAAACATTTCTTTCTCTTCGACTTATTTCCAACCACGTTGTATTTGGAGGAGGAGTCGACAATTGAAATCGGAAAACTTATCATTACTCTATATATATATATATATATATATATATATATATACACAGTAGTTTTGTATATATTTTTTTTTGTTCGAATGATTTTGTACGTTGTTATAACACTACTTCTCAACTGCATTTTTGCTGATAACAGCCTCATCTATTAAAAAATTGCACCTTTTCAACTGTATTTTTGCTGATAACTCCCCCAACTATTAAAAAAATTGCATCTTACCCGTTTGTTTTTAGATTTTAATAAAAGAGTCAAAATGACAATATTATTAAAATCAAAATTTGCTAAATCTCTATGATGTTGCTCCCTCTGTCTAAAAAAAAATATTCAGTTTTTTAGAAGGGCAATTTTTTTTAGACAGGATATTTTTATCATTGGGTGATTTTGTACTTTTATTCCCTTCATATCTGATTTTTATTTTTTTAACATAATTTGAAAGTCATTCACACAGTTGAAAAAAATGATAACTTAAACAACACTCGAAATTACTACGGACAAATGTGACAATTTATAATTAAAATTAGATGCTTTAGAGAAGAAACTTCTATCTTTTATAAATATTGAAAATAGTCTTTTTGGCTGTATTCATTAAAATCAGAACAAAATTGATACCCTTTTTGTATCATTAATCTCTACTCTCTTTTTTTTTTTTGTTCCAAGCAGAACTGAACTCTCAACGTAAAGAGACCATGGAGGGTATAACTATTTTTTTTTACCCATAGATGAGGGGTTATTTGTCAAAAACATAATTAAAACGTAAAGTTGTGGGCAATAATCATTGAAATGGCCGAAATACCCCTATATATTTTATTTTTTTTACATTTTCTTGTAGTAGGTGGAGGGCATAGTAGTCATCACATCAAAACAAAACATATCTTATCCATTAAAAGCCCGACCCGATCCACGTCAGCTAGAAAGAGACTCACTAGAGAGAGAGAGAAGAAAATTGGGAAAACTGAAAAGAAGATGCGAACAAAACAAGAACCAGACAAAGAAAATGGCCTGTCAACTCCGTGCAATAGAGAGAGAAAATTTAAAAATTCGTAACGTAAATATAATCTCTTTTTCTCCCTCTTTCAGTCTCTCTCTTTCGCTATAATCAGTTCCAAAAAGCCACCGACGAGGTACGGCCTTTCTCTCTCTCTGGGGCTTGTCTTCTAGATATTTTGCGCACGAACTCTTTGAGTCATGAGCCCTAAACAAGCCAATGCATTGCTATTATGAAAAACGTTAATGGGTTTTTCTGGGTTTTGTCTATGATTGGCGCTTGTGTCGATTTATGACAAAATATTGAATTGTTATGTATAATCTATGTGACTCCTATTTTGTTTTTTTTTTTTTTTGGCAGAAAATTTGTTATCGTAGTTAATTTGTTAATTTAATATTGAGTTTTGTAAATAAAGCAAGTCTTTATTAGGTATTAAGGTTTGAAATTTATGAAATTGGTTGAGCTCAAGAAAGTAAGTTTTTTTTTTTTTTTTTTTTGGTGGCATACAATTCATATAATATAGGCAGTATATGTCATTATGAATGAGGAGGTATGGAATTATTGAGAATATGAAGGTTTGAAATTTATGAAATTGGTTGAGCTCAAGAAAGTAAGTTTTTTTTTTTTTTGGTGGCATACAATTCATATAATATAGGCAGTATATGTCATTATGAATGAGGAGGTATGGAATTATTGAGAATATGAATGACGTAACAAGTTATTGCTCATATATTGGAGTGGTTTATTGGAAGTGTTTAGGTGCTTAGAAAGTGATGAAAAGTTTGGGTTTTTACCGATTTGGATTTATGTCGAATAAGGTGATGATGAAGAGTCTTTGATTAATATTGGAAGGTAATCATAATCAGTAGGAGATAATAAATTATATCAATATGTGATCATGATTTTGAGATTAGGTCGAAGAATGTCATAGTACTGTATTTGCTATTAGGAAGCCATGATGATAAGTCAAGTCTTGCCGCAATGCGAGGGCTTTAGCACATGTCTGTACTGTGTATCTAAGTGTGAGATGGTATAAATGCCTTTAATTTTTATAAAGTACAGAATATTTTTGTGAACGAAAGTATTGTTTAGTTATTTATTTTTGTATCATGGCAAGAAACTCACACCCCCACTTACCCCGATGAGGACTTGAACACTTGACCTTTCCCTTTGGAAGGAGAGGACGTACCACTTGGCTAGAGCCGTTTGTTGGGGAACAGAAGTACGCGTATAGATGATTTCTGACTTCCTTTTGTTGTTTCTACCTTTGCACAGGAGAAGTACATTTGAAATCTCTAATAACCGATACTATAGGGAGACACAAATTAGCTATTTAAATAGAATCATTGGATATCAACTTGATTCTTTAACTGATTAGTAAAGACATATCTATTCAAGTTCCTGCATAAATTTTTACCTGATTATACATCCTATTTTCTTGCATAAAAAGCATAGTGTTATTTATCTTCTTCAAAGTAAAGGAGGTTGAAGTTACTGTGCTTGTTTGTGCTTTTACTGAATAAGGAAGTCATAATTTGTACATAAGTTTTTAGGTTAACTCCTAGCCAGATTTAAAAATTAGGGCTTTCTACAACTTATCAAGACTCCCTTTATAGGAATTGGTATTAATTCTCGGTTTTAGTTTAAAAAAGATAAATTATTATTGTACTACAAACAGATTACACAAAGCAATTCCTAAAACATTTTTATAATTTTATTGACTTGATGTCTTACTCTTATGTGACTTATGGTAATCATACTGCACGATGCATGGTATAGTAAACATTGTTAAAAGGATTGTACAAGTTTGGTTGGGGTTGAGGTGACGAAACTGAAAGTCACATCGGCGATGGTGAAATGATGAGAGCTCGGACTGATGAGTTTGTACATGGCTTTGAATTTGAAAGAAGCCACTTTAGGCAACATAATACCAAAGGTTAGGTATTTTTTCTAGTCTTCCCCTCCTGTATCCCACATGGGTGGGATCAAAATTGAGTTGTGGCCTTTAGGATTTAGTTTTGACCCAAATATAAAGAGGTTGGGTTAGCACCTATGGCTATCGTCAAAGCTAACCACATTGAATCTAATGGGGTATACATTTTGTGTGTGTGAATGTTAAGAGTTACATCTGTCAATGCCAATCCATCATTGCAAACTATGAAGCATGTGCATGGTACGTGGACATGCTAATATGGGAAATCCTATAATGTAGGTTATTGGCATGTCAAAAACATCGCAACAAAGAACTATCTTTTTTATATATAAATTTATAGTACATACAATGAACATTACCTCTTTGATAAGTAATTATAATACATTATGGCTAAAATATGAAATCTATGAATTATGAATTTGTTTACTGATAAAGCTACAAGGAATCAATACTTGTGCTATTGTGCTATGTGTACAGGTTACATACATAATTATATATTTATATATACACATAACTATAATTTTGCTCCTCCGATGCGTATTCCTTTGATGGTTACTTTCTGTGTTTTACTTCTTTTTTTCTCTCTCTCTTTATATATGGTCAATTTTTCTAATAAAATTTACATAAAATTTTAGTTGTTTTCTCTTTCCAATTTACATTGATTTAATACTAAAAATCAATTCATATATGAAAATAGAAAAATCTTCAGTTACATGTTGATGAACATCTAAGAAATATTGGCTATGTAAAAGATTAAGAGTTCCTTTTTTAAATTAAGATACATCTAAGGTGCGTCAGACACATATTTGGGAGTATTTGAGAAATGTCTGGCAACACGTTTCTGAGATGGATATAGGCATATAGCCCCTTCTTGGAAGTAACTATGCTTTTGAGACTGCAAATATTAATATTTTAGAAAGAAATTTTTGCCATAAATGCCTTCAATCCTGGCAAAATATATAATTAGAGAATGCTAAGCTATTAAATCAGAGGGTCAACTGTTCTACTGGCAAAGTATATACTTAGAGATTGCTAAACTATTAACTCAGAGGGTCAACTGTTCTACTGTGAGATATAGAACTCTTGTATTTCAAACCATCATTAGAAGGTGAAACAGTAATATGTTGCCATTATGGAATAATTGTGACTTAGAATGCTTTTCTTATATAAACGTGGTTATTTTAAAGAACATCTATTACATCTTTCCGATTTTATTTCTTATTCTCTTTTATTTTTATCTGTCTATTGCAGAAAAAATATTTTATGCAGTGCAGTATTTGTGTTCAGAACCTAGCTATGTTCTAAGTGGCCTTACCTGCTACCTTGAAAGGAATTATAAAGAGAAACATTTGTCAACAATTTCTGTCTCATAGCAAAAGGGAATGGTTTTTCAGTCCAGCGCTGATGGAAGTCAGTACTGGAAATTCCCGTTCCAATGAGAAGCGACCTTTGGAGGGTCCCTCATCTTCAAATGAAGCGAAAAGGCCTACAGAAAATAATGTGAGCGCTTCCGTGTTTGTCAATCATGGTATATATTTTACACTCTTTATAAGCTGGAAAGAAAAATATTTGTGGACCGGGCTGAATAATATTTATATTATAGTAATACCATATTTTCCTTCTTTTGCAATTCCATAAAAAAAGAAACACAGTACTGAAAAGAGAAATCTATTATTTTGGGATTGTAGTGTTTTGAATTAACACAGATAATTCTACTTACGTTTATTGGACCTGATAACTTTTACTTATATATCTTATTTTATAATATTTTTTTAGTTTCACGAAGCCCGAGAGAAAACTACTATCAGTTTCATACTTTCCATTTTCTCTTTGTGATCTTTTACAATATCAAACAATTAACAAATATGAAAAGATCAAGTAAATAAAAATATCTTGATAACTTTCATACAAGAAACTTTGTACTTGTTATTTTTTTACCTCCATATTTTCTTAAGATTTTCAAAGAATTTCACACACTTATTATTTTAAGACAGTTTTTTTTCAATTTTTTTTTTTTTTTTTTTAATAAAAATATTCCCTTTTAATCAGGCATGCGCATGAACACTTAAGCCTTTTAGGAGTTTGTCTGGTCAACAAGTTCATCTTCACATGATCCTCTTTTCTTTGAAGTGAAGTGATTGTCAACAACACTCTTGTTTTTTTCCTTGACAAATTCTTTTCACATTGATCATCAGCAATACTCTTGCTCTTCTACGACCTGTCATTGGCAGTAATAGTTCACTCGGTCTTTTATGTCTCCCACGTAGGTAACAAGTACACCTAGAAGCCTTCAATTCTCTGAAAATGCAATGGAAAGAACTACCGCTAGTCCTCCTTCATAGCAATTATCAAGCCAAGCTTCATAACGACTTTAGTCGTACACAAGTTTATGTTAAGTCTCTCAAAAATCTCTCAAATATACTTTATATCTGTGTATGTATTCTTAAAGAAGCAAAAGTTTCATGAAAGAAGTCCCTCTAGGAACATAGTCCAAGTAAAATGGAAAAAGATAACTTTCGCAATAAGTTACTTCTTTTATTTTTTACCACAACTGACAGACTTGGATTGGTCCTAGATCTTATAGGCATTGATCCGTAACTCACTGGGTACATAGGAATGGTACCTCAAAATTCCTGACTGATCCTTGAGCCACTGGTATTGCAGGAATCCACCTTGAATTCTTTGGTTCCCCTTGAATTGATCTTTTTTCTCTTTAAATTTCAGTCTAAAGTGCTAAAATCTTGCAATTTAACCATACACTTCACTCAGTAAAACATTTCTGTACCTGATTTGTGTGTATTTTTCAAGACCGTCGATTTAATCACTTCTATGATTCCATGACTTCCATTCAGTTTTCGGTCTTCTGTCTTCAATAACATCTTCCTAGGCAAATCAATTGGCAAATTCACTGACTGGGTAAAACAAACTGACCTAAACTAATTTCTGTCTTATTACAACCGCTGTTTTGATTTGAAAATTTGCCAATACGTAGCTACCAAGTCCTGACATGTTTGACAGATTGAGTTTGACTTTATATCTGAGCTAGTGTGTGTGTGTGTGTGTTTTTTTTTAATACCTTAAGCTTTTTCTGAGTCATTTTCTGTCTATAATCTACTGAACCTTTTAATTAAATTGCAGTTGGTACCCCTCCGACCATTAATCTAGTTGGTCAGAGTCATTTACCTTTACTTAATGAATATTATTGGTTTTTAGATGTAGAAAAATCAGGGTAGAACTATGAAGCATATACTTACACCCGTCATTTACAAGGCAGCTAGAAATTTGTGGTTTACCAAAAAAAGCTGTGAAAAGAACTGGCAAGAGCAATTTTGTCATCTAATGGTGCATGATAAGGAGAAAGCTCGAAGTTGCATCCCATCCTATTTTATTTAGTATGATGATGGCTGAAATCACCTGTACTCACATGCTTCTCATGATTAAAATTGATATATATTCCTATCTGGAATGGGTTTTCTTGGGACATGCTAAACTGCTAGAAACACCTTATAATTAGAATAAAACTAGTCAAATTTGAAATGGCAGGTGAAGTTTTTGACTATTATGAGTGGTTGAACTAGAGGTTTCTTGTTTTTATCAACTCTTTTTAGAACCCTTCAAAGCTGAATGGGTTTTGGGTTTTGGTGTTGCCATCAGAGTTATCCCCCTTTTTTTAGGAAACCACTCATAATAGTCAAAAACTTCACCTGCCATTTCAAATTTGACGAGTTTTATTCTAATTATAAGGTGTTTCTAGCAGTTTAGCATGTCCCAAGAAAACCCATTCCAAATAGGAATATATATCAATTTTAATCATGAAAAGCATGTGAGTACAGGTGATTTCAGCCATCATCAAGCCACACACACATCTTGATGACAATTGTGGTTCTTTGATCTGGTGTTGAAAATCTTGAAACACCACTAGAAGGAAGCCGTCTTTTCTTCCACCCCTAAGACTGCTTACCATAAATGTGATCATGCAGTGCGTTGTCTGGTAACTAAGAAATTGATATAATGTGGCTAGCGCTATTTGATCATTAAAAAAGACAGGGTTACAGATTCTGAAACTTATCCCAAAAAAAAAAAAAAGGAGAAAAGAAAAGATTTTACAAATTCTGATCATTTAAAATATAAGATCAGAAAATTAGGAATGTTGTAATTGTATAAGTAAATCTTTTCTGTCCTCGATATAACTATAGAAATTGCTAATAGTAACCCTCTTTTTACATTTTTGTGTTTATATAACTCAAGATTTTTTTTAGAAAGATTCCTATTTGTTCTTTGTTTCCCCCCTTTTTAGGAGTATAACATGGTTTATATATGTAGCTGCAATTTCTTGGCATGAGAGCAGAAAAAAATGGGTTGGAGATCAAACTCAAAATTCGCAAAGAATGTCAAAGGATCCAATTATAAGGTATGCTTTCCTCATAACGTCTTCAGGTACAGTTGAGATCTATTGTAGTCCTATTTAAAGATCTCACTGCATTTGTATGCTAGGCAATGTTCTGTTTGCTATAATATCTGGGGGGATCCTGACTACAATTCCCCTTCTTGTTAGCACCCTAAGTAAATTTTAGTGCTTACAGGAAATGCTCAAATTAAATTCTGGGTCACTATACACAACAAAGAAATTCTTAAATAAAAAATCTAACATATCAAAAGTGGTGATTTTTTCATGTAAATGTACATTAAAAGATCAAGGGCCTTGTGGCCTAGTGGTATCTGCTCTACCTCCCAAAGTGGATGGTGAGGGTTCGAGTCCCCAAAGGGGCAAAGTTTGTGTATGTGTTTCTTGCCAATGAAAAAAAAAAAAGCTCCAGAAAAGACATTTTTGAAGGAATTTTAATTTGCCAAATGCCCATCCAAGAAACTTTGGATTCCCATCACAACAAAACACCTTGTAAAATGATCTCACACTAGACCTGTCACTTCTATAAGTTCACCATCACAGTGCATTCTAATATGCAAAATTGAAGTAGCAGTGTAAAGTGTCTTGTAGAGTGGGAAGACTTGACTGTTTAAATAACTTGGATAGGTTACGCAGTTGGTGTAGTCGTAGCCACTTCTTTTGTAGGACTGAACTTGAGAAGGTTGTTATTCTGGCTCCCTACCTTAATATGTGGAATGTACAACCCAATAAGGCCATTTATTGATGTTCTAGCTCAAAATATATGCATTTATATTTTTTTTGAAAATTTTGTGGAAATATTTACATCCACAAAGTTGTTCGGTAGCATGGTCCAAACTCCAAAGTTTTGTTTCAAAGTTAAACTTTTGATGTTCTGATATAAAGAACTTCTTTAACTTGATCTGATTTGACATAAATTTTTTTGTAAATTCAAATCCTGAATAAAATGATCTTATTAATATAGGATTCAATCTTAGTAATTGAAAAAAAAAAATGCACGAATTTTGAATACAATATTATGACTAGTGTAATTTTGAATATAAATGAGAAATTCTTAAACCTAACCCGTTCTACATTTATGGATTATATAATTTGGGTGTTTCACATTTTAAGAGAAGAAATATTTAATAAAGATCAATTCTAGTTTCAATGTGAATCTTTGGTTTTGGGTACAAGATTTCAGATCCAAATTTCATGGAAAGAGAAAAGCAAGAAAGAAAGGGTGGTATCATAATGTTCAAATCCCATTGGCATGCATTTTTTTGTGGGCCCTAGACGAAATTCAATTGGCCAAGTTTAGCGGCTCAGTCTTTCACTTCTAGCTTTCAAACCATGGTCCCTGTTTGAAAGAAACCTGATGCAGAGTGTGCTAACTAGAAATGAGACAGATTGAAGGTTTATATGGAGTTGTGTTCGAGAGCTTGTGATCTCATATCTGTTTAGTTTGTCTTATTTTTATGCTTTCTATAGGTTAGTTTATTGCAAGCATATATAATAATGTTTTCTTATATTTTAGGAGTTCTAGATTTGCTGCTGATAGGTTGTTGTAGTAGTCCATTAGTCTTATTGTTGGTCAAGTTTTCCATGTGAAATTTGAAGTTTTTGAATTTTGGAGTCCTTACTCCTATTAGATGTAGGATAAGTCCAACAGATAATTATTTATATAAATTTGCAATATAATAAAGTTGAGATACGGAGTCAAAAATCATGGGTGAAGCTTAAACAAGAATAAGTGCGATTCTTGGAAAATTCATGTTCCTCTTATCTCCAATCTGATTTACAACTAACTTTGATCTTTTTTTATGAATTTCATCCAATATCCAGAATTCTATAATCCTTAACTTTCCCCCAACTACTTGTTTGGCCCTCTAATTAAATCTAAAACCTGAAGAACTTGCTGTGCGGATTGTCCAGCAACAAGTTTTCTTAACATCCAGCATTTTATTGCCTTTAAACCAAACATATTCCAGTATTTGCTATTCATAAAGTAAATAATCTTTCTTCCACCTTTCAAAACCGTAAACCTGCAATCTCTCCATAACCTAAAGCCACCATAAACGTGATCTTAGGCAGCATTATGTTGAGTTGATACTGTGTTCTACATTAAATCACTCTAGGTATGTGACTTACGTCTGACTGTATTAGTTGCTTGTATGGTGGCTCAATCATGTTGTTGTTTTGTTAATCACTGACTAAAGGAGTGCATGCTGCACGTCGTTTAGGAATAATAGAACAATAAGTGGTGGCTGGTGAGTGGTGATGATACATAGAGGAATATAATTTGAAGGAATGAAAAAGGAAAAAGAATTGCTAAAACTTAAAATAACACAAATTGATATTATATTATCCATGATGTGTATCTATTCTCATTTTGGTTTGCAAGTGACATATTATTCATGATATCATAGGCTTTTCTCCTCCTTCATTAGCTACAGCTTATTAAGTAATGCTTGAACAGTAACTGCAGAAAGTTTCTTTTGCAGCTGGTCAATGACTTGTGAGGACCTTTTTTAGATTGGTTAGCTGACATAGAAGACTCTTTTTTTTGCAGCTGGTCAATGACCTACGAGGACCTGCTCTCTACTAATGAGCCTTTTGCCGAGCCAATTCCATTACCTGTAAGCTTCTTCACACACACATGCCAGATTTTAGCAATTCACCAGTCACATATATATTAAATTACTGATTACTGCTGTGTGTGTGTGTTTGAAGTGAAGCTTGAGAATGCGAGATAATTGAAAAGGACATGCAACCCATTTCAAAATGAAGATTGTTGGAAGACAAAATGGAGTGGATCAATTTCCATGGAACATTATTTATTAAAAGAAAACATGGAACATTAATTTGCGTAATATGAAACTAAGACTGGTCTTGATTCTCTTGAATTTGAAATTTTTTGCTTCGGAGTATTTCCCACTGTTCATAAATTTGTGCGCATCATTTTAGGAGAGTGCTAATGCGACTTTGTTTGGTTGTTGGGCTTTGCTTTGCAGGAGATGGTAGACTTTTTAGTTGATATCTGGCATGATGAAGGTCTTTATGATTAGATAATTAGTACAATAATTTCTTTTCCGGACACTTCGCCATTTCAAGTAGCAAGATGCATACTATACAAACCTTTAAACCCAATATTTCAGTTGACATCCAATTCTTTGGCTGATGTTGTATACTTTGGAAAAAGCCTTTGAATTAAAGTTTAGTTCTCAAAGGATAAGTGGTACCAGTAGTTGTAGAATTAAAGGATCAACACCTAAACATTATTTTGGAACAGTATGGCTATAAGTTTTAGCAAATTTTATGTATTTCTGTTTTTCTTGTCTTATTCATGCCTTTGCGAAACCATGCAATTTCAATCTGTAGCAGTCAGTTATGAAAAGATTTATCCCTGTATTTTTGGTCGTTTTGTATGTATATATATATATGTATATGATTTACCTATGAAGATCTTGGAAATGGTGTAGGACAATGCACGTACTGTGGTACTTGCAGTGCCAGAAAATTGATTCTTTGTTTAAATAGTTCTTCGCTTCTCATAATCATGAAAAGATTTATCCCTGTAGTTTTCAGGATGTTGTGAACTTGTGATTCTGGAAATAGGCTGGACATACAAGTCTTGTTTATGTCATTTTATGCAAATTATGTGAGTAGTTAGTTCATACAGATGTTACAGAATTGTTGATCAAATTTTTATAAAACGGATAATTTTGATAGTCTTGTCCTTTTCTTTTATGAAAGTTAGGTATTACATCTTTTCGAACGGGCAGGTCAGAGTAATAAACATCCATTTATCATGTGTAATTCGAACGGGCAGGTCAGAGTAATAAACATCCATTTATCATGTGTAATGTGTAATCTGCCATAACTTCACGGAGGTCAATGTAATTTATGTATTTATTTTCAATGTTACAACCCTTTGTAATAAGATTTTTTTAATTTTATTTTATATATTTTTTCTGACAAAAGGTATCCCACTTTTTTTTTGACTTGAAACTTAATAATTCTTTCATATACCTCAATCACCCTCAGATCTCAAATCACAAGTAACATTGGTTTTTCACCAAATTTAAAGTGAATTAGAATTTAGATATCAATGGACGTCCAAATTATATTTATATAATTGCAACTTTGAATATTATATGAATGAGTCATTTTTGTTTCATAAATCATTTCAATGCAAAACCTTATTATGAATAAATTAATTCAGCAGATCTTCCTTATCCAAAACTTACGTACTAGGCCTTTTGGCTCTATTGGGCCTAGGGCCCGAGTTTTTTATTAGAAGCCTTTGAACTCATCTAATAATTTTTTAGCCTTTGTCAATGGCTATTGCAGTTACTGGTAGTTACTAAACCTGGGTTGGGTTGTAATGTTTCCTTCTTGGGCTTGTTCAAAGCCTTATCTCAAGCTTTGGCTTGCTTTCTTCATTTTAGGGCCTAAGGCCTTTTTGTAAATTCTATTATTCAATGAAAATTGCTTTAATTTTGTAAAAAAAAAAAAAACTCATCTAATAATCACTGTGGAGAGAGAAAATGAAAGAATTGTAGGGAGAGAAAGACGGAGAAAATGGTTCAGAAAAGCGATAGCGACGAAGACGAAACCTTCTACTACCGCTACTCCTCAGCCCCAGCACCACCCTCCACCAAAAACCTAGCCAAACCTTCCGGCGGCGGCGGCGGCGGCGGCGGCGGCGGAGGAAGCGGGAGCGGGAGCGGGGGCCTAGCACCATCCAAATCCACCGTCTACGTCAGCAACCTCGACTACAGTCTCACCAACTCCGACATCCACACCATCTTCTCCACCTTCGGCAAGGTCGCCAAGGTCACCGTCCTCAAGGACCGCCACACACGGCAGAGCCGCGGTGTTGCCTTCGTCCTCTTCGTCTCTCGCGATGACGCCGTAAACGCCGCCCGAGGAATCAACGGAAAGGTTCTCAATAAACGAACCCTAACCGCCTCAATCGCCTCCGATAACGGACGCGCCGCCGAATTTATAAGGCGGAAGGTTTATAAAGATAAGAGTAGGTGTTATGAGTGTGGAGAGAGTGGGCATTTGTCGTACGAGTGCCCGAAGAATCAGTTGGGACCGAGAGAGCGACCGCAGCCAAAGCGGGCACGGCGGGGAGGTGGCAGTGGAGGAAGCGGGAGGGGTGGTGGTGGGGAGGAGGAGGAGGAGTGGGAGGAAGAAGAGGGTGGGGGAGAGGGGTTTGAGGATGATAATTGGGCGTCAGTGGTGGATACTGGGGTGGATGAGAGGTTGTTGATGAGAGAGGAGGGAGTGGGAGAGAGGAGGAAGGCCAAGGGTAAGAGAGAGAAGAAATCTAGCTATTTCAGCGATGAGAGTGGTGATGATGAGTGACTGTAAACATGGGGTTTGTTTGAAGGTTTGATTTACAGTGGGTCACTGAAGGTATGGACTTTTTCTCCATTTTCTGTTTGTGATTATGTCCAGTATCTTTACTATGCAGTTTTATTTGAGCTTGTGCTGCCAATTTTATTGAATTTGAGATTGAAGATTTATGTGATTTACATTTTCTTTTTTCAAATGCTAATACTAAATGGGTGATGACAAATGATTGTCAAGTAGAATTAGCAGGAGTATAGGGTACCCTTTTCCTCTTTGTTTGATGTGTTGATAAGTGTCTTTGAGATTGTAATTTCGATTCAGTTGGGCATAGATTGTGGGGCTCGGGAGATTAATATGCTGAATTTAGTTTCAATGTGAGGCAAATTCGTTTGTATTAAATCGTGAAATTTTCAATTATTTTTTCTCATTTTAGTTGGGTGATGGGGAGAAATTATATATCTATAGATGAAATCGTGGATTTTTTTAGGTTCTTTGGGTCCATAGGACTTCCCTTTTGGCTTTGGGTTTCGTAAATCTCTTGGGATGCGTTCCCCTTTTGAACGCTTATTAATACACTTTACTTATCAAAATAAATAAAAAATGAATCAGTTGTTTGAGGATTTATTATATATATGTATCTTTAGAATTTGTTTTTTATTAATTTTTCTGCTCTGTCTGATTCATATAGTTTCATCTTGGAGCATGAGCAACTTCTTAAAACAACCAAGGGAAATCCTGTGAGAAGCATCGTGATACAATGACGTGATCATCACATGCATGTATAGACTAGCATAGTTGTGAAAGGCTCAAGGTGCACTAAGGCGCCAAAGGGTGGAGCCTAAGCGCAAGGCGCAAGCCTAATCGAAGTAAGGCGCGTGTATATAATAATGCATATTTAAACATATATTATTGTATATATGCATAATCAAGCCGTAATTACAGTTAATGTAAGTAGTGAATCATAAATATATGAATTTTGTCAAATATTTCATAAGGTTAACCAATACGATATATGATATAGAACCTTTTAGTTTAGTAGTCATTAAGTAAAAAAAAAAATGATATGAATAAATGATTAAGAAATACTAGGCGCTCCTTTTTTGAGCCTGGAGCCTACTAAAAAGCGTGAGCCTGAAGGCCTTATGTGAGCCTGGTTGAAGGTGCCTAGCCTATAGTAGGTTGAGGCGCCCTAGCTGAGCCTTGACGAGCCTGGGGTTTTTTTTGGAGCCTAGGCTCGCCTTTAACTACTATGACTAGTAGGCAGTGAAAATTGAGTTAGTACAGGCAACAATAATACTAAGGGTATGTTTGGTACGGTGACAAAGAAAAGAAAGGATAACATAAGTTATGAGGAAAAGGGAAAGAAAGGGAAGGGAAGGATAATTTTAATTCCTTATCGTGTTTGGTTGATTAATGAAGGAAAAGAAAGGAAAGGATAATAATCGTGTTTAGGAAAGGAAAGGGAAGGAAAGTATTTTTGTAAATTTACTATTATACCCTTTTATATTTTAAAAAATAAATTTATAGGCCTCAAAATTTATAGGCCCATGGATGATGGGCCACCAGAAAAACAAATATATTTTTAGGGCAAATAATTTCAGCCTCCTTAAACGCCTCCATCTCTATTCTCGTTCTCAACTCTTAACCTGCCCTCTCTCTCTCTCTCTCTCTCTCTCTGTAACTGCAAACTACAAAATCTACAAGAATCAGAAGTTCAAAGCCCATATATTTCAGAACCAACAGTGGAGTAGTTAGGTCCAACGGCTTCCATGAGCGGTGAGGAGGTCTGGTTAGCCACAAAATTGAAATTAGCTCCATCCATGTAACTATCTGCCATGCTTGATTCATCGCCGGACTGAACTTCGCCTCCCACTCGCCGTCACGCGCGCATGCGAGTAGATCTAACGCGTCTTTCACACGCACACTTGCCCCTTCTTCTTTGGCGACTGCAATTCTGCCCCTTAACATCAACTCTTGGCCGTCTAGCACCAGACCCGGAACTGGTCCGGCCTCCGTTCCTCTCCTCAACGCAAAGGTTGTACTGAATTTTGGCGCCCTAAAATCAAGGGTAAATTTGGTATTACATTAGTCTCTCCTGCTCTCTCCTTCCCTTTCCATCCATTTCCTCCCATTTTTGGGAAGATTACGAAAGTTACTTTTAAGTCTATTTCTATCCCTCCAAAACCCTCCATTTTCTTTCCTTTCCTTCCAACTTTCAATACCAAACATGCTTTTTAATCACCCTCCATAATCTTTCTTTTCTTTTCCTCCCATTTCCACTCTACCAAATTGGGCCTAAATGTAGGATGTTAGACCAAATGGAGGAGGTTCCATTAGATGGCTGATAGCTAGCACAATAATATATTTTTATTTAAAGAAGTATTTTTTGAGCGCTTTTCTAATATATTTTTACTTATCAAAAAAAATATATATATATATTTAAAGAAGTATTAGGTTCTCTGCCCCGAGAAATACGTTTTTTTTTTTTTTTTTTCATTTTCAATTTAGGTGTTTCCGTGTTTGGCTTTGAGTAGTAGACTATTAGGCAGTGAAAAGTGAGTCGAAGGTTTCTGCATTTTGTTGTACTAGTGGGGGTAAAAACGCTAATTGAAGACGAGATTTAGACACTACTTGGAAAAGAATCATTGATTGGTAAACTTTTGAAGTTGGCAGGTATTGCAAACAAAAAGATGGCTAACACTTCATGCCTGTAACTTAGGGAGATTGAAAAATACAAGAGACGAAGATTATTTAAGATCTCAAGTAGAATATATAGGTAACACAATAGAGAAGAGGTGGTAATTTATAAGATTTTAAAAGGTGTTGTAACATTTGTAGTATACTCTAGAGGGAACTTTTATGATAATGTAATGTAGTAAAAGATTGTTGAGGGTATGCTGGTATGAGATAGTTTATGATGGACTTAGACTGTAGCAATCATGTGGTAGATTGTTTATGGTGGACTTAAGACTTTAAATGATCATGACAGGGATAAAATTGTACAAATTATTACTGTACTAACTTGATGAGGCTATAGCCCATGAAATCAATTTTAACATGATTAACTAATGTACAAATTATAATGGAATGGATAGAGTTTTCATCGTTTGTGAGGTACAAAATAGGAGGAAAGGAGCAGAAAAGAGTCTCTTTAGGTCCACCATTTTCTCCGCGACCAAAAGTAGACCTAGAGGTGAAGGCAGAGAGAACCCTTCCTTTACGATTTATCCCTTCAAACAATACCTTGTGTTAACATGCAAGAATGGAAGAGTATAGTGGTAAAAGGAAATGCAATCTTTTGCCTCCCTTTTTGTTTTTTTTCATGTTAAAACAAATAGATGGTAGAAAATCGGTTAGTGGTAAAAAAAATACAATGCTTTGCTTCCTTTTTTTTTTTTTTTTTCTTGTTAAAACAAATAGATGGTAGAAAAGACAGTTCTTTTCCCTAGGTAATCTTTTTCATCTTTCTACCTGCCCTTTCTCTCAAATTTCCATCTCCTACCAAATGATCTTAAGTGTGGAGCTTTAACGTTAAAAAGTTCCAGTGACCTATTTTATCCACCTTTATAGCACTTCTTGTTTTGTTTGTACTTTGTAGTTTTCTTCTTATGCAGTTGGCTCTCTCTGTACCGTTCATGTTCAGCCTTGCTTGTTTTGTGCTCTGGCATGGGAAGGTTTCTCATAATTCTATCTTTTCGGGTAACTTATTTTTGGTAATAATTGTTGTTTTTGGTAAGAAATCCCTCATTTAAGTTTAACTTGAACATCTATTCTTTGCTATTCTAAATTTTAAGTGTTTGATGCATATAATTTTGAAATCAAACCGGGGGGTTAATGTCATGGCTCTCTACGCGTCCTAACACCTTGAATTGATGGGACTACCTCCGTTAATGGCTTTCATTCTGTACACTATTTTCATCTATGGTTGAGTTTGTAGGTTGAATATATAAGAAATGGTTGGATCTAGGGTTGCCTTTTCAAATACATTAAGGTTTTCTGGTTGGATGGTTTTGGGCGTGATCGGTATCTACCCTATTGCAACCTCAGCCAATTTCACCAGATTTGTAGTTTTATATTATATCTTTGTACTACTAGTAAACTTTTCATTTTAAGTCCTTTTTTATAGTAAAGTTCATTCTCATTTCTTTTCCCAATTTTGTTGTTTCCTTTGAATATTGCCAACTTGGCTATCAAAGTTAAAATAATAATAATAATAATAAAATAAAAAAGAACAAGAAGAAGAACTGAAGAAGATAGGGGTATGTTGATGAATCTCATTTGCTGTTAGCAGTTTGGCAAAGATATATATAATGTTTAACCTTGATTAGGCTTAACTGACAAAAACTTTGTTTAGGCATAGACAGACTTTTGAGGGAGAGGACCTCTGACAAAACTTTAAATCACTATATGAACAATAGTTAGCGATATTGATGGATAGGGTAGCAATAAGTCTTGCAGTGCATTTAGATTGAGAGGTTTGGAGGGAAATGAAGAAAAAAGAAAGAAAAGAAGACAACCACCTTATATCATACGTTTAGATGAGTAATTATGAGGGAAAGAGAAGGAAAAGACGGGAATGATGAGACTTCTTAACTCCTCAACACCCGATTTGTTTTCCTCCCAAAAGTGGAAGGAAAAAGGTACTGATTGTCCTTGTTGTTTCTACTCTTTACAACAGGGGAATTTTTTTTTTTTGGTCCCTTGAACTCGTATAATTAAAACGTCCATGTACCTTCCTATCCTCTTATTTTTTTTTCTGGAAATGAGGTGGGGTTATTTCCTTTTCTCTTTCCCTCCATAGTCATCCAAGCAATATGGGGACTAACCACTATTCATCCTTTATTTCCCTTTCTCTCCCATTTAGTGCTTTCATTCTCTTTCCTTCCCCACTTTGTTCTCCAAACAGACCGTTTACTTCCAACATATTATGTAAATGAAATTGTTGTGATCTTTTTAGTGTGAAACAATAAAAATTGAAACCTAATCCCATTCCTTTCTCTTAGAATCCATGCATACACACTACCGGTTATGTGCAATGGCTTTGGCATTTCTTACTTAACCTCATTATAAAAATAGTATTGGATAGGACACCGGTTTTATCCAAAGCCATTATAGAATATAGTGGTAAAACGTAAGCATGGCATCTAAGAGGGAGTGGTGGGGTTAGGGGATATTCTTATTGCTTGTCAATAAAAAATAATAATAAAAAAAGGAAGAAGAAGAAGGAGACAGAGAGAGGGGAATGTTGCTTTCATAAATCTTAACTCCGTGTAACTGAAATTCTTTGAATAATAGCCTCCGGCTATGTTGCATGGACTCGGTATGTGTTGTGGGTGCGCGTATGGATCCACTCGTTGGACGTGTCAAATCCTCATATATATCGGCACGTGGACACTCCTGAAGATTCATATTATTTAATATTTTTATTTTATTTCTAGAGTATAATAGCGTCTTTAGGTAACAGTGTGCAATATAGGCATTTCACTCGTTTTGAATCAATAATATAATAAAATTGAATCATTGATATTTTTTTTTAAGTGCGCGTCCAACTAAAAGTATTGGGCATGTATCCCATGCACATGTCCAAGTATTACGTGTCTGACACGGGTACTTCACCTACCTTTGAGGAGTTCATGTAACATAGGCCTCCTGTATGAAGTTGTTCAGTTTAGATCCTTTATAGAAACTGTATATGAGGGAGATAGAGAAGTAATTCTCTTCATTTGTTCACAATAAGTACATGGCACAGAACATGTATGATCTGTTTGATATTTTATTCTTTGTGTTATTGTATAAATAGAATTAATTAGGAAAAGCAAGGAGAATAGAATTAGAGAAAGTAAAGAAGAAAGTAGAAGAGAAAGAAATAATCTCAATATCCCTTGAACAAATTTGAAACATAACTGACACCTACACTCCTATTTATAGGCACGCAAAAAGTTAAATCCTTAACAATTTAGCAAATACATGCCTAAAATAATTGTTGCTGAGGGTAGTTGTCGCTGCCCACCATAGTTGTAGTTGTCGCCGCCCACCATAGATGGTAGATGTTGCCGCCCAACCTAGGTGTAGCAGCTAGGGATGGCAAAACACCCAGCCCCATGTAGAATGGTTATGGGGGTGGTTAAATTGTTTTGGACGGGGATGGGAATGGGAAACCTGCGTGGTTGTGGGGCGGGGATGGGGAAAGGGCACCACATCCTTCCCTGTATATTGATAAATTACAATTTTACCCTTAGAATATATATTATTTAAAAAAATATTAGGTATGTATTAAATAAACCCTAAATTATCCTATTCCAATCAGTAGAGACTTTTTCCTCTCAACCCATCTCTCTCTCATATCTCGTCGCATCTTTCTCTTCTCATATTGTCTCGTCATTTACATTCGTTAGATTCGTAATACAATTAAAAAAGTACTCTCCTATCCTCGCCTCTGCTCCCGCCCTGCAACGTTTAATAAATGGTTTTGACCGAGGACGTGGGTAAGATTTACTAAACGGGGGTGGGGATGAGAGGAGCTCTACTAGACGGGAGCGGGGATGGGGTTGAGGTCCCCTGCTCTAAACCCACCCCATTGACATCCCTATACCAGCCGCCAACGTGGGGGCATAGCCACCTTTATGGTCTCCATTAATTGTCCCACCTTGAGAACTACTTTGGAGAGTTGGTGTGATTATATTATTCCAAGAGAGTTGAGAGACTTGGGTCAATATTGCGAACCTCATCCTTGATGATCCAATACTATGTGCGGCTACACCTAGTCTGGGCAGTGACAGCTAAACATAAGTTGGGAACGACGACTACAGATAGGTTGGGTAGCAACGTTTACACTGGGCTGGGCGGCAACATTTATTTTAATATTTTTGTGTTTTTGTTTAATTGTCAAGGATTTAACTCTTTTGGTGCCTATAAACAGGCATGTATGTATCAGTTAAATTTCAAATTTGATTTAGTAATAGTGAGATTATTTTATTTTCTTCTCTTCCTCTAATTCTGTTCTCTAATTTCTCTTTCTAATTAGTTCTACCTATTCGGTAGCAATCATAGAAGAAAATACCAAACAAAGTATTCCCGATCAGATTTTCTTCTCTTCCTCTAATTTCTCTTTTTAATTAGTTCTACTTATTGAATTTGGTGTTAGAGTGAAGGATCCAAAGTTCTAACAGATACAAAAATTTGATACCTGCAACCCCCCCCCAAAAAAAAAAAATCATCGCAAACCACCCCCAAATCAAACTCAAAATTAAGCAGCTGCCTCGATTGTGAAAAGCTCTACTGCCAAAACCCTAGCCTTCAATTGGTGCCATCAAAACTTGTACACCAATTGCTTCAGCCACATCTTGCCTTTGGTTTGCTGGTCATCATCCTCCAAAGAGTGTCAGAGAAGAGCTGTCGTGTGCTTCACTTCTCATCTCTCGCTCTCTCTAGCCTCCTTTTTCTATTTGTTGCCAGATTGTGGTAAGAGATTGAGAATCTCACATATCCAAAACTTTAGTCCATATTTCCCCGTAATAGCTCCACTTAAGCCAACATCCTAGCCCAATTCCTTTGAAATTCAGCCTAGCCCATATTGAACCTAAAATGGCATACCCAATCTGATTTCAACCCTAGTATAGCACCGTCACCGCCCCCAGCCCTTATGTAATTGTCAATGCCTTCTTCAGTTGTGGCCGCACATAACCACCTAGGTACACAGACCACCCTTATGATCTCCAAATTATTAGTGTATGTCACTTGTGATATCCTCACCAATTTTGAAATTTTCATTTGGAAAATGTTTGTTGTTTCCTCAACAGAAGCTGGGTAGTCAAGTCAATTCAGGTTTCCACAAATTATGTTCTTTTTGTTTTTCATTGCTTTATGTACCGATTATACACACATTTTTTTTTTTTTTTTAATATTTTGTTCATTTCTTTACTGTGTAATTGATGGGCATATTTTACAGGTCATAATTTGCTGAGCCTACAATGATTGTGCAGTTTTGGTGAAGGCTCGTTTGAGTGCACTAGGGTGGAAATTTGCTGAGCCTACAATGATTGTGCAATTTTCATTTCTATACTGCTTTTCACTAGGGTGGCCGATCCAAGAGTCCAGTTTTTCCTGTGTTAACCAAGGAAAACATGAAGATAGCATGCTCAGAACCTATTACAAAATTGCAAGAGGATATTAGAGCAGAATATAATTATACCCTAAAAAGCTAATGGCCTGTTTGGTAACCGCTTTCGTTTCTTATTTTATTATTTAAGCTTAAACATAAGCCGTGTTTATGTTATGCTATTGATTATAAATAAACAGAAACATTGTTTGATAACATAAAAATGCTGAGCTTGTTTTGAAAACAAATATCACACAATATTATTGTTTAGTAATCTTAAAATGTGTGAAAGAATTGGAAATAGAGAGTGTGCCTATTACTTTCATGAATAAGCAAACTCAATAAAAATCATAAAATAAATACTCTGAATAATTATAATTCTGATGTTTGTTTTTCTTCCCTCCTAAATGGAATTGGAATATATATGTGAATAGAATAGAGTAAGGCCTACACAAAATAAGAATGTCCATGTCCATGCACTTGGCTTAAGCATCCACTGTCATAAGACTCATTACCTGTACAAACACAGTTGTATAATCTGAATAAAAAAGTGTACAGTGAGACAAATTCGGATCAAAGTCATCCACCCATAATGAACATCATCATAAAAGATGTTTTCTTTCTACAATGAGAAGGTTTGATATTGCAGAGTCAAAATTGGGCTTTATATAACTCTTTCATCGTAAAGTCTCCCTCCTCCTCTATTTTTTTATTATTATTTTTTATTTTATTTAATTTTTTAATTTTTTCTGTTTCCACTTCTCTCCTTGTATATATACAAAAACGAAGATCTCCAGTGAGAAAAAGAGGAGATGAGATTTTTGAATCGATCTGTAAGTTGAGATTTATTTTATTTATTTTATTATTATTATTTTGTATTACAAGATCGTGAGAGTACAAATGTTAAAGCAAACAAGAGATTTGTCCTCACCATTTAACACACTCAACGCTGCGTCCAATGGCATCTCCATTTAAAATACTCAATGGTGTGTCGTTATTCTTTTATGAAATTAATTTCACATCAAAAATTAAATTGTTTATTAAAAGTCTGATTGTTGTATGAGCTTCAATAGCAGAAATTAGATGAGTTTAAGAGTGTTATTAGTGGAGTGAAAGGTAAAACAGAGTAGTGGAAGAAGAGCAAGAAATCAGTATCCATCTTTTTTTGTGACTATTGTTCTAGTAATTAAAATTGATGTTTGAATTTAAAAAAGAAAACTAAAATCAGAAATACTAATGTTGTGTTATTATTCTTTCACTGAAATTAATTTTACCTAAAAATAAAAAACCATATAAGAAAACTGTAAACAAAGATAACCATTTGAATTACTCGCAACTCGAATTTTGGATTATTCCTCATAAATACTGGTTGCTTGCTATATTAGCATCAATAGCCAGATGGACTTTCACATGACATCTTCAGCAAATAACTTACATCTTCAAGAATTGAAATTGAGATCAACACATTTAATATTTTTAATTAAAAAAAAAAAAAAAAAAAAAAAAACATTTTTTCATATTCTTAAGCAATACAATTTTAGCAAACTGTGCCTAAAATATATCTATCATCTTCTACCTCTGTCGTGGTATAAATAGCATGCACATTGGCATATAATATTTCATTTGTAGCATTTTGTTTCTGGTTTCAAGCCTATTAGTGTTGCTAAACTGATACTTAATAATCTCATGGATTACATAGCTTGTCATTAAATTGATCTTGGAGGTCATACTTTCGGATAATGGATTTCTAAAAGCTTGCTTCCCAACTTCGCTAATAATTCATAACCTCTACTTTTCTAACCGTAAAATTTTTGTACTCTGGGAAGAAAATTTGTAAACAAAAAATTTGTGTTCGTGAGTTATAATCGTGTCGTGTCGATTTAAAGGTATTCTACTAAATAGTTTAACCTGAATACGACCCATTTAATATTCGTATAAGTAACCCTCAACACTAATCCGACCTATTTATTAAATAGGTTATATGTACAATCCGTTTAATGACCCATTTACTAAAACAAAAAATTATATTATTTAAATTATTAACAATATCAAACAATAAATACTATAAAAATATAAGTTTCAATCAACCCAATTTACTAAATATTCTCTAGTCTATACAAGACACAAGTTTAAATAATTATTTTAGAACCTAAATATAAATTTATTTATGACATGTATAGTTAAACGGGTTAGTTGAACTACCTTAATCCAAATATGACATGATTAACTAAACGGATTAATCGTACTAACTCGTTTACAATCCAGACCCGTCTAACTCATGTCATGTTCGAGTCGTATTGACGAGTCGTGTCAAACTTTGCTTACGCTAACAAAAAGTAGTTTAGATGCGGAGAATAGTAAAGTAGGGAAAATGAGTAATCTTCTCATAAGCACTGGAGTATACAAACCCTTGAAGTCTCAAGCATAACGACAATAGTTGACTCTAGTATTTTCTAGAAGAGAAGTGTAAGCATGCAAAAGATGTTAAACAAGGATTAGCGTCCCATCCCACCAAGTGGGACGCTTCCACATTCGTGAAGTTTCGTGTACTGTAAAGAGGGATGGATGGTTCTAAAATATTAGAGAGCGCTAAAAATGTTAGATTAAATAGAATTTTATAAATGTTTAGAGTTTTGTATAGTTTGTAAATAGGTAAATATTTATATGAAAGTATTTAGAGAGTATATCATAGTCGCTAATTGTAACCCATCTTAGCCACCTATCATAGAGGAAATGTTTATATAAGTAGGTCATTTGTAGTCCTCAAGTGCTCATGAAAGTGTTGAGTTTTAGAAAGAAAACAAGTATTATCAAAGATGTTGAAACAGAATGTTTGAAATAAAATATTATATAGAGTAAAACCATCATTTTGCAATGTTTTTATTTACCAAGAATTATTATTAATATCTGATTTAGTCTTGATCAATGGAAAAATGAGAAAAAAAAAAATAGCAAGCTAAATGGAATGGAGCTATTAGTTACTTGGTTTTCTCTAAGAAGGCAAGGAAAGCTGGATGTAGCTAAGGCTTACGACCATGACAGGAGTGAGGATTCCAAAAAAGAACTTGTTTCTCCTAGCCTTTTCACTTATCCAAGGAATCCCTTTCTTGGCATTTGTATTTGTTATTCCATATTTTGGGTTTCTACTTGTATGAAGGGGCAATGATAATTTAGTAATATATTTTTTAGTTTTTTTATAGAGTTTATATTTTTTGGATATAAATTCGTGCTTAAAATTGACTTTTTATTGTTATCTGTTCTTCTTTCTATCCTAGAATCCAAACTTACATCCCCACTTTTGCTATAATTCATGAATTCTTAAATACTTTGGTTTACTTATTTTGTACTCATAAATTTGTTAACAAAAAATAGTTTAGACGCTAGAATAGTAAATATGGAAAAATGACTTGAGTCTTCTCAACTTACAAACACCCAAGAGAGAAATTATTTGGATAGGAAAAATATATATATGGCCAATTTTTGAATCTGGTAAATCTTGGTTTTGAATTGTGGACTAGCCAATTCGTTTTGTCCCCATTTTGCACACATCAATCTAGGTCATGTTTCAGAATAAAATAAAATAAAATAATTGAACTATTTTTTATAAAAGAACCCTTTCCTTTGTAACCAATAAAAATGCTGTTTAATCATGTACAACCAACTTAGAGCATCAACTGCCCGGTAACACTTTTAACTGTCACACACACACATAATTGTAAATGAAGAAAGTACATGCATAATTTGGCATTTCTAGCAACCAACAATGCCTCAAAAATACAACAATATCATAAAATAAAATTTGAGTTTTTGAACCTTGAAATCTCTAATTTGTATTTGGCGAGCTCAAGCCTGATTCTCTTGCAGACTGCATAGAGAACGAAAAACTATCACAAGTATGTTCATCAAGAACGTCAGAAATATTGCAGCAACAAAAGGAAACATCAGCTTACCATCATTTCATAGTCCCCCATTATTTCTTCTATCAACTCTTGTAGCAGTTTATCAGCACTATTAGGAACAAGAGCTGCAAATACAGCAGGTTCTAGTCCTGCATTAAACGCCGGCGTAATTGTGTCAAATTTGTTATATAATATGTACAAGTATTAAAAGCCAATAGCAGTTGTTTCTCCGTAGGGAACTTCTATGTGAAAAACAATGATGAAAAAGCAGAATCATCATTCGACCACCTTCGCAGCCACAAGCCAAGGAATTTGAACGTCTGGGAATATTGAAATTCCCTCGAGCTAATCCAGCTAATTTTACATATGTAGCATCTTCGGAACTTAATTTTTGAAGTCCATGCAAAAGCTTTGATAATACACACTGTTTTTGGAGTAATTGATTATTAACTTGGTATCAGATAAATATGTCTTGAGCTCAAATCTCACCAGTCCCTTATTGATTAATAACATATGCATGTCTCAACTCACTCAACAACATTTGAGAGTAATTGTGGATGAATTCCGTAAGTGTCAAACCTTCCCACAAACGAATCTTTTCATTGAACGGTTGAGTGAGATAAACTCTGGCAGTATATGAGGCATATTGATGACACAATCTTACATCTTAAACTTTAGTAGTAGTTAACTGTTGATATTACATCGGGGAAGTAAGATCTCAGGTTCAAATTTCGCTGTCTCCCTAAATAATTATTGTTGATGCATATGTTTGTCCAACTCATAATAGGGTCTGGCCACATGTGGGTTGGCGCTATAAGATAAATATACTTAAGTTGCAACCTCCCTAACAGATAGCAACAATTTTAAAATTTAACTAAATCTCAGAATCATCTAATGTTGAGACATTCAAGAATTTTTGCTATTGTAAGCTTATAAGAATTTTAACCACATTCTATATAATAAGAAAGGAAGTTCTAGTATTTTGAAAGGAAGTTCGATTATATATATATATATATATATATTTTGAAATGGCATAATTTTTCACCTTCTACCATGATCGGAATCAATGGCATACTAGAATAAAAAAATACTGGTTAGTCGCAAATATTTTCATTTCCTTACCAGTTTCTGGAAAGGCATCAATGAACATTATCATCTCCTCCCCAGTCAGACCAGATAAGAAGCAAATCCGTGGCAACGATTTTGCAATCTGCAGAACAGAGGACACATGTTACATTGGGAATTACAAGTGACTAGTAACATTATTATTCAAGAACTCTTCAGTATTTAAGCCCCCACCCAAAAACACACACACAAAACAAAATAAAAGAAAAGAGAAGAAAAAATTCCCACCAAAATTATGAATTCACATACCACTACACATGATATTTCACTTACACATAGCCACATCGCCTATTTATTAGCTTCCCCCTTAGATATATATATGGTGGCCATGTGGACCACCAGAAGCAACTATGCACTACAACAAAGCCTATTAACATCATAACATACTTTCTTATGTTTATCACATGATAATGGACAATCACTATATGAACCAACTAGAAACCAAATTCAACCTTGCTGAGATATTTAGCCAATTATGCATGGAGCCTCAGAGAAGCCATCTAAACAGTATCTTGAATTCAATGTTGAAAGAGCAGCTAAAGAAATAGAGGAGAAGATGAAGATGAAGACGGAAACAACATGAATTGAGGTATTTAAGAAAGATACGATAGCATGTGGGGTTAAGAGATTATGGACTTTAAGGAATGGCGAACCAACATTCATGTAGCCAAACATGAATAGTTAAGAAAAGGTTTTGTTAAGGACAGGCTACACTTTAATGTAGACTCTAATTTACGAGTAGTGTTTTAATTTGTGATGCTTTCGGGGTAAAAAACTGAAGGCAAGTATTATTCAGCCCTCTTTGAAGACCGTTTGGTTCTCGCTGAGCACTTCTCCCCAGTTCAACTACAATTTGTTGCTGTGAGACCAACTAAACTGTAAAAAATGCATTTCCAACTTGAAGGTGGCTAGAAAAAAACTCTACCCTCAAAGCAAATATGTATTAATTATGTTTTTGTCAATATAATTTTCAGTCTCTGCTTAGAGAAACAGGGGGGAAAAGAAGAAAAAACTAAGTTCACTTTGAACTGCTGTAATGCACCAATTGTATTTTCTTGTTCAAATTAAGCGTTGAAATAAATGGACAAAATTTGGAGTTTTAGGCTTCACAAAACAGCAGCACTGAAAAACTTTATTAACCGGTACACATTATTCAGCCATCACAGTAGTAGAGTCGTCAGCAAAAGCAACAAGTTGTAATAGCAAGTTATGTTACATGGACCCACCCACATGTCAGATGTGGCATGCAGTCTTTGAAAAACTATCAGAAGGTGTACATTATTCAGTCATCACTATAAAGTAGTCATCAGAAAAGCCAACGAATTATGTTAAATGGAATTGGTCATGTTCGATTTGGTATATACCTAAGTATCAGAGTTACCAAGTCCACAACACAAGAAAACAAGTACACAAGTAAACATCAATAATCTTTATTATTTTTCTTTTATAAAGAAAAATGGTGATTTTATGTGACAGAGAACTCAGAATTGAGATTTCACTCATTACCGTACAAGAAGTAACATAATATGAGAATTTTTATATAACATTATGTGGTATACTTGAATCAATGGACATGGAATACTCGGTTCATAGACATTACCATTATGAGAATTTTTATATAACATTATGTAGTATACTTGAATCACTGGACATGCTTGCCTGGTGCGTCCTCAACCAGACATGTCGAATACATTATCCCATACCCATACCAGGCAATTGAAGGCAGAATAGATGGTACAGAAGAAAGGAAAGATACAAGGAACAATAGAAATTTAACCTTTGCAGCTTCCAAATTGGGTTGTTTCGTATTCATTGCTTCCCAAAGCGAGCAAGTAATCATGTCCTCAGTGCAAAAAATAACCTGCAATATGGATTTGAATATCGAAATTCATTTATATGCAAGTTTACCTTTCTGAAAGTATGTACCATTGTTATCAAATCCCCTATAGTGAACAGTAATAATGTAATAACTATTTTTCATTCAAATAGAGAAGTTGAAAAGAAATGGGAAAAAGTATCAGTCAATTTAGATAATCCACAAAATAATTTTTCTCAGTTTCAACTATCATATCTGTTCTTGGCTAAAACATTCTTCTGATTATATTACCCTCTATATGAATTTTTTCCTTCAGGGAACTAAAAGGCACAAGAATCAACCTCAAATAAGAAAAACACCAAAACAATCATCAAAATAATGTTTAGGTTTCCTTACAAACCAGAAACTTCTTTACATCACGTTTTTTTTTTTTTAATATTTCTCCAAATAAATATTTTTCAGAAAACAAAAAAGGAAGATAACACAACAATGAGTAGCACAAAACTATAATCTGAAAGGTTACCTCTAGGAATTCACCATCCAACTCTTTCAGAAGTTGCTGAATCTGCAACAAGACACATTTAAGGAATATTTAGGGCGATAAAGGGACCACTTCTCTCAGGCATACTTTTAAGTGTTCCCTTGAGAAACTAGAAACCATCTGCTCTTATAGAAGCTACTGGTAAGGGCCATTCAACTTTGACAGAAACAAAAGACCATAAAAGCAACCACAGATCCATAGTTTTTTTTTTTCCTTTCACTAATTTTCTATAAAGAGAAGTCTCAGTTATACGAGCAAATAAAATACTCTTTCAGCAATAATGAAGATGAATGCTGATATCAGGATGGAAAAGGCTATTTTACTTCAAACAAAAAGAACAGAAAATAATGTGATATGGCAAGATTGTATTGCAAATAACAACCCCAAAAAGAAGAAAAAGATAATATGAAAGCAATGGACTTAAGAAACTTTGACCTTGTATATTAATCGAACCTAATCGGAAGCATCCTTCACTAATCTCACAAACTGGATTATCGATTTTTGTATGTGTCCGCCCCATTAGCCTCAAGGGGGGTGGTTTAGTATGTAAGGTCAGGCATATTTATGTATGACATCGATGAGACTAAATCATGAAAACACAAGGGTAAGAGATGTGCCACCGCAATATGGCAGGAACATTTTTCACAAGCAACAAAAAATGAGCCTGGTAGGCACTCTTATGAAGTTGTTAGTAGCTTAGTATTTATGATCTTGAGTAAATTAGACCAGGAACCTTTAGATTACATACCCAGTCCTCCCCTCTTCTCCTTCATCCAAACAGAAGAATGGAAAAAAAAAAAATATACTACATGATTCACAAAGAAATTCAATTATTTGGGTCACTGAAGAGGGGTACATCGCCAACAATGACAGTTAAAAAACATAAAATCAATTATAGGTTAATTAGGAAATGAAATTGACAGAACACTACAAATTACCTTCTCCGCCTCCTCCACTCCAAAGCCTAACAATAATAAAGCCTGCATCAAGCAAATGTAAAATCATGTTATCTGATTACAATAAGATATAACTTGTGTATGATTCTCTAGCATGTGTACATGATAACAAAAGATCTACAAGGGCATATCCGTGATGCATGTTGTATGCTAATGACATAATTCCAATAGACACTATGTGGAAACAATAGCAATAGAAGTGAACACCTAGAGAAATACATTAAAGGAAAAATAAAATAAAATAAAAATCTAAGAATTAATAAGTTTATAACAAAAAATATGGAATAGAGATTCAATAGAGATATAGAAAATAACATTCTAATGATATTACAAGTCAAGACAAAAGGATTACTCAGATTAATCATTTTCGATATTTAAGCACTCCAAAGGACCAAAAGGTATAAGATGATGTACCAATTAGGATTCAAACAAGTTGGGTAAAATGGAGACAACCCAATGGTATTCTATGTGATAAGAGAACATCGAATAGATTAATAGAAAATTCTATGACGTCACTAGGCTAACTATCATGTACGAAGAGAATAATAGATATTAAAAATTACCACCACACCTTTGAGGCTGAAATGAGAATGTTTAAACAATATTTATAATCAGCATGATTGAGTGAAATTTAATGATAAAATAAGAGAGAGTGGGTTTAGGTAGTGTGACCATATACAATGAAGACCGGCAGATGAACCAATAAGAAAAGGGAAACTAGTTAAAATTAAAGGTAAGAAACAAAGGATGGACTTAAATGGAATAAGGGAATTCATGTGGCTGACCCATTTGGTTGGGATAAAGGCAAGGACTCAAGGAGGATAATGATATCAAGTGATGGCGTATGTATGAGCAACGTACTCCTCTATTTCCCATATCATTAGATATGGTAAAGCTCATTGTAGGACTAAAGAACTTTACATCAATTTTTTTTTTTTTTTTTTTTTTTTTTTTCTGGCATGATATAGGACAATAACCAAAGGTAGTATGCTTTGAAAACATATCCCACACCTATTTGAATGTTGTTTATAACAGGTGACACAATTATTTCAGTTAAAACAAAACAGGTAAGAAGAGATAACAGGAACTCTATGCATTTGCATAAGTAAAGAGGACAAAATATTAACATAAATAAATATAAAAGAAATTCACAATAATTGATAAAGAACTAACCAGAACTTACAGGAGGACCATATCTAGGATCATCAGCATTCAGAGGTACAAACTTGGAATCTTCAATCAATTCAGTCGGAAGTCCTAAGGCAAGAAAAAGAAAATTTATACGAGCAAATTAAGTACTACTTAAAATGGACTTTGTAAAAAGGACCATTAAAATAGAATGATCATTGTGAAAATCAAAGTCAAGTGTACGCAGATACGCATCCACCCTCTTACATAGTTTATTCATTCATCCTCCCATCATATGTGCTCCCCAGAAACATCTTTGACAAGTGTTCAATGGTCTAAATCCTCATACTCAGTCTAGTGCCAAAACATCCCCCACTTCCCCACAGCACTTTTAGAGTAGATTCTTTTGGAAGGAAAATAAATTACCAGACCAAATTCCCTCAAAAGTAATTTGGAGGCAAAAAGAAATTATCATGATTTTTCAAAGGTTTTTTAATTTTTGGAAGTTCAAGCAAACCCACACACCATACCCACAGCATGCCCCTAATGGGCCTCCAACTCTCAACCTCCCCTTTGGGTAGGAGAGATCGACCATCCGGACTAGAGGCCTAGTGGTAGTTTTTCAAAGAAATTGAATTGCACATACAATAAAAATACTGTTCCTTTTCAGCTCCTGTCGAGCAACCATTTCTCAGTTAAATTAAGAAGCGCTATACAACCTTTATGCCAACAAATTGGGTCAGCAGCAATGAACGATTCCACTCTATCTGGGAAACTAAGGCTACATTCACCTCTCTAAATAATTTTTCCAATACCAACCATAAAAGTAAGCACTTTTACGCAAAATTTAGAAGTATAGTCAGGTTACCAATTTTGGAAGTATTTTCATGCTTTTGACAGCCATATATATATATATATACCAAAACAGTGAATTGAGAGAAGAACAAGAAATGCAGAAATCAAGATGAATAAGAACTACTAAAACACCAAATCCAACAAAAGTGAAGTTCTAAAACACCCAACGAAGCCTGAAATTAAAGTATAAATGTACTAAATTATAAGAAAATAAGAAAGGAAGAACAGACCTTCAGAAGATGCTTGTGGGAGGTGCTTGAGCTTCAAATGATGGGAACATTTTGATGAAGAAATAGTTGATACATGTGAAACTGCAAAAGGGTTTGATCCAATTGCAAGTTTTGGTGAAAATCCAGAGCAGAATATCTGAAGGGTGCTGAGAGCTGTTGCCATGACACACACACACACACACACACGCTCTCTCTCTTCTCTATCGTTCACTAATTTACATTTTTTCTTTCTTTTTTTTCTTTTTTATACTCGATTCATCCATTTCCAGAATAGGTAGAGATTGTCTACACTGAGCCCCAGCTTCACTAACTATTGCTACCAATAATATGATACTATCTCAACATCAAAAAGTATCTAGTATCTAGTGTTGATATGATTGGTTGATTGTTAATCTTATCTTTACCACCACATGGTTGATTATGGATATTCAAAAAATTAATCTAAAATTGATTTACCAGTAAAAAAAAAAATACAAGGAAAATATGATAAATACAAGGAAGTAGTACAAAAATTAAACATATAAATAAAAGGAGCTAATATTAGCACTTTTTTTTATTTAATAAATGCACTTTTTATTCTTAATATAAATAACAAAAATATCCTTACCTTTAATACTTGATTTTATTTATGAATTACGAATACTTATGTCATTTCATTTTAAAAATGGAGCATAACCTCCCTAAATAAAATACAATTCCAAGTTATTTGTTCCAAACCAATAGTAATAATAATACTAATAAATAAATAAAATCTGGTAAATTTGGGTTATAACAATATGCACTAACAAACAACCTCTTAAAGCACATTAAATTCAAATTGGACTATATATATCTTAGTTTTTCAAAGCAATTAAAATACGTTTGACTCAATTTAAATTATCCGTCTCATAAAATATTATTTAATTTTATCAAAATTTGCTTCTTTTCAAGAGGAAGTTTATTTTCGGACTTGCACTTCACTTTTAATTTTAATAATTAAAATATCAAATTTACCCATTATCTCCTCAGTGAAGTCCGTAGAGTTTATTTTTTAAATTGATACAAAGTGAAAGGCAAAACAGTAATTTCAGCCACTAAATTAAAAACAAATGTGGAGACAGGGTTTGGAGGTAAAACAAACAATAAAGTCCTCGGATGCAGTAATTCATCCCCCAATAATTGTCTGTAACCGTCGTTAGTTGAGCCTGTTTAGTAACTTAAGTAATAAAAAATAAATAAATAAATAAAATAAAATAAAAAGAAGATTAAAGACCGACTGGTTTTAGAGACTGACAAGTGAAGAGAGAAGAGGTTGAGAAGGCTCGTCTCAGCTATTCGAATGCTATCACTCCACAGAAAATCTGAAGATGGGTCTGCAAATACGCCTTCTTTTCTAGGGTTTTCTGTAAGTAATTGATCGCCCCTCCCTTTTCATTTCATTATATACATACATATATATATATATATATCTGTATCTGTGAGTATAAGTGGATCAATGTTCTTCTCTTTGCTTGCTTGATGACGTGAAAGATTGAAATAATGAGCTTAAAAGTCAAATTTGGAAATTGTTTGCTTTTGTATTTCTAGTGGGTATTAGTTTAAATGCGTGTTCGTTGCTCTTTTTATGGTAATTATGATTTTTGCTTTGGCTTCTTAGTTAAATAATGTTTATTTGTTTGGCCGGAAAACATTTTCTCGGAAAATCTTTCTTCATTGTAAACAGATTTATTTTTTGTTTCTATTCTTGATATAGCTCTGGATAAAATCATTAAAAAAAAATACTTTTTTCTTTTCTTTTTTCTAAAGCTTCATGGAGAAATATTAATTGAGTTCAAAATAAATTTTCCTGATAAAATGTTAAAATTAAGTGTAAGGGAGTATTTAATAAGATTTTCCTGAGAAATATATGTCAGAGCATATACGTTTTCAAAGCTAATTGAAAAGGATTCTTGAACTTTTATGTTTGCTGTATAGTAAATATGATTTTTCCTGATATCCTAATCATACTTTTATATGTATAGTTTAAAGAGTATATTGTTTAAGGCCACTATATATAATGCATTTTCTTCAAGGAAACAATTTTCATTGCACCAAAATGAGCTTTTAGACCAACTAACCACCTTGCCTTCTAAATTATATCTGCAGGAGATGTGGTAACCGAGTTCATATTGGTATATACAAAAATCCTCATTGCTGGACGCAGAATCTATGTTCAAGTAAGATTGCATTAAACTCTATATGCCTATAATAATTGCTTTTTAAAACGAGTATAATTGACATTAGTTGATGAACCTGTATTTTCATCGTGGCAGTGATGTTGGATAATACTAGGCAAGACTTGTTGTGATGAATGAATGAATTTAACATAATTAGTTAATTACCCTACCTAATAGAATACTTTTCCAGATTCATTTATCTCTTTTTCTGGCCCCAATTTTGTGTTACTAATTTGAATTTGAAAAATCTATTCCATTCAAATCGCACAATGAGATTTTGTTCATTTGCTTAGAAGCAGTTAGTCCCAGGAAGGTCAAGGGGTTCGCTTCGTGACTAAAAGAACATGACCTAGTGAAATGCTTATATACTTATATAGGATTCAAATAATTGCCAATTGTTGATGTGGTAATCGATGGAGCTTTAATCCAGAATGCAGCATGTGAACTAAACCTTCACTTTGATAGTTCTAATTCTGTGCAGAATCTGCATATGTATTGGCTTACAAAAAGCTAAATAACTTCATTTTTATAGTTTCCAAGGAACATGAGAAAGAGAGATTATAGGGTCCAGAGAGTCAGGACTACACCATCCGCTCTGATATTTGGATTGTTTGAAGAGGAAATTTGATTAACAGGGAACTACACGTTCTCCATGAGATTACCTAGATAAAATTACATCATTTACTGGTTACTGTGAAGGCTTGGACCATATTAACAATAGCGCAGGAATAACAGTTGAAGAAGTAAAAGACTCATTTTCTACTTTATTTTATTTTAGTTATAAGTAACTCCTTTTCTACTTTCTTAAATATATTATTCTTAGAAATTCAAAGAGGTTTTATGATAGGCTTATGTTAAATACTATTGATGACTGTTACAGTGGCCATTGGAATAACTATTTTCATGAGCTGTGGATATGCAAGCTATTTTGAGTTTGGAGCAGGTCATGATTACATCTAATCCTGGAGGCGGTTTGTAACTAGATAATTGATAGTTAGCTGGCCTTCTGATTTCTCTGACCACGTTTCTATACTTGTCGTTGTAATCCTGCACATAACACTAGCATCATCGCATTGGTAAACAAATTACTCATCTTGTCAATGCTCACATATGATGAGGCAATTTTTGGTGAAAGCGGTCTGAACCATACTATCTTCCCTATTCATGATTTTTCATCCATTTAATTTTCTTGGGTAGCCCTTTATGAAATTTCTAGACTTACTTTGGTATAAAAATCAAATGAATTGTCAAAAATAAAAAATAAAAAGGGTGAGATATCCACTATATATTATATAACTAAGTAATAGGAAAATTAGAATAAGGAACGGGAATTTATCATGATATTGCATGCCAAGAAAGGAGGGAGATGGAGATAAAAAAAGGAGGGCTACTTGATTAATGCACTAGGTTATACTTATACCACTTCAACACCACTTAGGTTATACAGATACCACAACCATCTCATTGTTTCCAGCTTATCTATTCTTATCATTAGAAAGCGTTCAAATGGGGAACATGGCCCACAAAAACACAACCTCAGAACTGGACCTGTCGCTTGTTCTTGGCTTCAATTTCTTCCTAACTAATGTTGTTAATTGAGAGAGTATGACTAGTTGCCACTTGCCAGCCCTAGTTAAAATAAAGTTCAGCTGCAGAGATTTTATGTTTGCCAGTTGCTTCATATAAGGTCATATACCCTCCTTGTGAGTGATCAAACTTGGCCAGACTTATTTGAATGCGTGAAAGGGTTGTGAATTCTCAGGAGTATGTGATGTGAGAATTACTGTTCCGTGTGATCTTAAGATGCTTACTTTTTATTTTATGTTTTTGGGCTAGAGTAAGCTTTTTGGGCAGTAAACAGTAATGATATGAATAACCTTCATAATTTTTCATGCAACCAGTAATGAAGTGCCATTCGCCTTCGACACGCTGCATGAATTCTCCGCAGTCGACGGCTTTGTGGAGTTAACTGAATGTTTGGCGGAGATTATGAAGTACGTGGCAAATGAACCCTCGGTGGGTCTCTTCTATGTTCAGCAGCACAATGTCAATGCAGTGCCCAACCTCATAAATCTCAAGAATAATACTGTGGGGAAGTCACAGGCGATGGCTCTGCATACAGAAGATCTGGAGGATTCTATCACTATGGTGAGTTCAATGAAAGAATGTAATCCCATTGCTGATGAGATGATTAGAGACATTAAACGATCTCTTAGTATCATGTCAACCAGACAGCCAAAAAGAGGGTTAATCCGTAACCCAAGTTCAGGTTTTCAAATGGGGAAAACCAACTCGTGGGGTTCAGCTAATTGGGGTCGTGATGCAGTTTATATGCAGCATGACGGTGAAAGAAACGGTAGTTATTTGTCTACGGTTTTAAGCTCAGCAAAACAAAGAGCCATCAATTTCAAGTGGCCTCAATTTGAATTTAAAGAAATAAAACAAGCCAATAGTGAGAAGCTTATGTCCTATCCTAGCCGACCACCAACAGTTGCAGCTGCCAGCACCACTTTGACTATGCTTGAAACAGAAGCTGATGAATTGCCCCTGTCAAGTCCGACTGCAGATGAGCTACAAGGAGAAGAATTACCACTTGATGGAAGCTTGTTAAGTTACAAATTACACTCATCTTCAGAAAACTATGATGAAGTCAGGACTGATCGGGAGAGAAAACTGGAGGAGTGGTTGGAAGGGACTGGCAATTAGGATGGTTGCATGTGAAAAACTGATGCATAAGGGCTTCAACTTGACAGGACATTGGATGCTGGAGAAGTTTTAGCTTGTAAATGACGTTGTTGTATAATTATGCTTGAATATCACAGAACACCAAGATATCATGATACTAAAAATATTTATTTTATTACTGTTCACCGTGAAAATTGCCTGTATACTATTGTATTTACTGTTTTTATAAGAGAAAATTGCCTGCAGATTCATGTTTTCAAGTTCTGGCATGTTTTTCAAAGTTCTATTTTGTGCTTTTCTTCTTCTATAGCAGCATGGTTCATCTCTATGAAAGACACGCAAGTCGGTTTGCATGGTTCGATAATTTTCTATTTTGATGGTGGCATATTTGGTGTTTAATTTCTCTATGGAAATTTACCTATTCCTAGTGTTGGAAATCTTATCTATAAGTTGACTCAACGATTATGGCAGATTTATTGGGTCTTCAATATAGGCTAATTTTTAGGGATTTTATTTTTATTCTGATTTGATTTGATTTTATTTTATTCTCTTTATTTTGATTTTATTTTCTTTTCTTTTCCATATTTGTAATTTTCCGCTTGTATATAATGATAGTCAGGCTCTCAAATTGAGTACGCTAATTTTACCAAGTTACTTTTTGGTATCAGAGCCTCAAACCTACGCCTCCCCCATCTCTCTCTCTTTCACCGCCTCTTTTAATATCTCTCTCTATCTCGTTACAGCCCCTTCCCTATTATTTTTTTTTTCACAGACCTTCTCTCTTTTTCAGGTCGCTGTTGCGACAGTCCTAGGGGGAGTCAATCTCCTCTAGGTTCGACCCCTATAAGGGTATTCCCTTAGTCTTTTTCATGCACTAAGGGTCAGAAGACGTGTTTGTAATTTTTTGGGGCTGCCGGGATATTCGGCAGCATTTTCGGATCAGACCGCCGTGTCTCCGGCTTCTTGGTTTGATCAAAATCAGGTTTATTCCTCCTTTATTTGAAATTATTGGTAATCTGTTGAATTGATCTATTTAATATTATGCCTGAATCAAGTAATAATAAAGAAACTCTTTTTTCGGCGCAACACACACCGGCTCAACGAGTTACTAGTATGCTGTTGAATGGCCGTAATTTTGCATCCTGGGTTCGTTCCCTCCGCCTCTATGTTGGTGGAAAAGGCAAATCAGGGTGGACTTTGGGTACTGAAAATAGGCCAGATATTAAAGATCCTAAATATGCTCAGTGGTATATGGACAATTGCACCATTTTAGGATGGATGTTTAATTCTATGGAGAAACGCATTTATAATATATTCATGTTTTATGACTCTGTTAATGACTTGTGGACTGCTTTGAATCAAATGTATGCTCATTCTAGGGATGATGCTTGTATTTTTGAATTATATCAAGATATTGCTAAGGCCTCTTAGGAAGGCCTGAATTTGTCTGTAACTGATTATTTTGGGTATTTGAGATCTCGTTGGGAGAAACTAGCTCAATATGAGCCTATCAGTGAATTTCCTTCTGAGGCAGCCTTTCTTCTTGTCAAACGTCTTGATCGTCAGGATACCTATCAGTTTTTTATGGGATTACGCACAGAATTTGAACCACTAAAGTCTCAGATCTTGAATGCATCACCAATGCCATCCCTGTTGGAAGCCTTTGATACTGTTGATGGTGAAGCACGCAGGCACCGTTTAATTCAGCCCTCAATTGTTCCTGTACCAGTGTCTGAGCCCGCTGGGGATAGTATGGCTTTTGCAGCCAACTTTGGATCACGAGCTTCTGGAGGTCAGATTATTTGTCACCATTGTGGAGGGGTTGGACATGTTAAGGCTCGTTGATTCAAACTTCATCCTGAACTGAAGCAAAAATTTTCTAGGAACCGTTTATCTGGAACTGGTTCTTCTCGTACTGCGGCTGTTACAGAAACTCCTGTTACTACTGGTGGATCTACTGTATTTCCTGGACTGAGCCAGCTTCAGTCTCAGATTGGGCATATCTAAGACCAGCTTGGCTCCCTTGCTTCTAGAGTTAGTGCTCCTTCAACTGCTCCCACTGCAACTATTGCTACAGGTACTCCTACTGCATTTCATGTTAAGGCCAAGCAGCCCACTTAGGTTCTGGATTCTGGGGCCAATGATCACATGACTGGTGAGTTATCAGTTTTTTCTTCTAATGTCATACATGTTACCCAATCTGTGTATCTTGCGGATGGCTCTACATCTTACATTCACAGTAAGGGTGATGTTTGTCTGTCTCCTTATATTACTCTTTCATTTGTCCTTCATGTACCTAAATTTGCCTTTAACCTTTTATCTGTTAGCCGGCTTGCAAAAAACCTCCAATGTACAGTTATATTCTTACCAGATCACTGTTTGTTGCAGGACCTTTGTTCGAAGAGGATTTTTGGCAGGGGTTATGAGCGTGATGGGCTTTACTACTTTGGGGAACCACCAGGAACGAGTCTTCAAGCTTCTGTCCTACCTACTTCTAGTGTTTATGATGTTTCTTTTCGCACTTTTAGTCTGTGGCATGCACGTTTGGGGCATGTAAACTTTCAATATCTATGTCTATTGTTTCCTTCGTTAAATAAAGCATGTAAGGACCATAAGTTTCAATGTGAAGTTTGTGAGCTTTCTAAACATACTAGAACTAGCTATATTTCTTATATGAGTCGTGCTCCTAGTATGTTTGATCTTATTCATTCTAATGTCTGGGGCCCTTCCCCAGTTACTGCTTTCTCTGGACATCGATATTATGTGACATTTATTGATGATTATTCTCGTTGTACTTGGGGTTTATTTATTGAAAAAGAAATCTGATGTGTTTCTTTTATTTACCAAGTTTCTTCAAATGATCAAAATCCAGTATAACATTGTTGTCCGTAATATTCGTTCTGATAATGGACGAGAATATGTTTCGAATGAGTTCCAGTCTGAACTTAATAAAAAGGGGATTTTACATCAACTCACTTGCCCCTATACTCCTGAGCAAAATGGCGTGGCTGAATGCAAAAACCGTCATCTTATGTCTGTGGTCCGATGTCTTCTGAGTGGTATGCATGTGCCTAAATTCTATTGGCACATGGCTATTCTTACAGCTGCTTTTCTGATTAATCGTACTCCCAGTCGAGTTTTGGGTGGTAAGGCACCACTTCAGATTCTCCAGCCTAATTATACATTGTTTCACCTTCTGCCTCGTGTTTTTGGTTGTACTTGTTTTGTTCATAACTGTAGTCCTTCTCGTCATAAACTTGATGATAAATCTATTAGGTGTATTTTCTTGGGGTATTCTGCAATGTCAAAGGGCTATCGTTGTTATGATCCTGTGACCAAACATATGTATCATCTCTTGATGTGACATTTCATGAAACTGTTCCTTTTTATATTACTAATTCTGTGGTACAGGATTCTCTCCCTTGTGATCTGGAGAAGGAGATTTCTCCTACTGCCCGTTCTGTTCCTCTCTTTGAAAATCACACTGTCCTGGAATCTCCTTCTCTATCCATGCAGGGTTCCCCTCCACCTTTGCAGGTCTACTCTCGTCGCCATCGCACTCAACCTCCCCTGCCAGAATCATCTTCAGAACCAGGTCCAGGTAACTCTCCTTCTCCTATTGTTCATACAATTCCTGAGCGTACCTCCTGTTATCCTACCCGCGATCGTCATCCTCCTAATTGGTATGGTTTTTCTAACAGCACTAACCACCCTATTTCCCAGTATGTCTCCTATGATGGTCTTTCAGGTGCAAATAAATCCTTCCTGGGCAAGATTGGGACCGTTTCTATTCCTAGATCTGTGTCAGAAGCCCTCCAGGATCCCAATTGGGTGTCTGCCATGACAACAGAAATGGATGCTTTACACCATAATAATACATGGGAACTTGTTGCTTTACCTTCTGGGGAGAAAACGGTTGGCTGCAAGTGGGTCTTTAATGTGAAGTACTTAGCCGATGGTTCTATTGATCGGTATAAGGCTCGGTTGGTGGCAAAAGGCTTTACTCAGATTCCGGGCAAAGACTTTAGTGCTACCTTTGCTCCTATGGCTAAGTTGACGTCTGTGCGACTGCTTGTCTCCTTGTCTGCTGCCCATTCTTGGCCTCTGCATCAGTTAGATGTCAAGAATGCATTTCTTAATGGAGACTTACTTGAGACTATATATATGGATCCACCCCCTTGATTTCGGGCTGAGGGGGAGTATGCTGGGAAAGTCTGTAGGCTACGGAAGTCTCTTTATGGTCTGAAGCAATCTCCTAGAGCTTGGTTTAGTCGTTTCAGCAATGTTGTTTTATCCATGGGCTTTGTGCGCTGCCACTCAGACCATACTTGTTTTATTCGACGTCGCTCTGATGGTCATTGCATTATGTTATTGGTATATGTGGATGATATCATTATCACAGGTGATGATGCTTCAGGGATTGCTCAGGCGAAACTTCATCTTCAAAAGTCCTTTGATGTGAAGGACTTAGGTCCTCTTCGATATTTTCTTGGAATTGAGGTTGCTAGATCCCGTCGTGGAATTTCTTTATCTCAAAGAAAATATGTTTTAGATCTTCTTCAAGATACTGGCATGCTTGGGTGTCGACCCGCTTCCACTCCTATGGACCCCAATCTAAAACTCTCTGTTGAGTCAGGGGAATTACTTCCAGATCCATCCGTGTATCAACGTTTAGTAGGTCGTCTTATCTACTTGACTAACACAAGGCCCGATTTGACATTTGCTGTCAGTGTGATTAGTCAATTCATGCATGCCCCTCGCTCAGCTCATATGGATGCAGTCTATCATATTTTGAGGTACCTTAAGTCGTGCCCTGGTCTTGGTCTGTTCTATGCCTCAGGAAATCAGTCTGGACTCTCATGCTTTACTGATGCAGACTATGCTGGATGTAAGACAGATAGACATTTTACCTCTGGCTTCTATACTTTCTATGGTAATCATCTCATACCATGGAAGAGTAAGAAGCAGGCTGTTGTTTCTAGATCCTCTGCTGAAGCTGAATACCGAGCTATGGCTCAAGGTACTTGTGAGCTCCTTTGGCTTCAATCAATTTTAAGAGAGTTGGGTCTTGTACAGAAAGGTTCTTCAAGGCTGTTTTGTGACAATAAATCAGCCATTATGCTTGCTTCTGATTCTGTTTTACATGAAAGGTCGAAACATGTTAAGGTAGACATTCACTTTATTCGAGAGAAGGTTCGATCGGGTATCATTAATCCTATTTTTGTTCCTTCTTCAGAACTGACTGCAGATGTGTTCACAAAGTCTGTTAGGCCTTCTCTTCTCCAGTCTTCCATCGTCAAGCTGGGCTTAATCAACATATTTGCTCTAGCTTGAGGGGAAGTGTTGGAAATCTTATCTATAAGTTGACTCAACGATTATGGCAAATTTATTGGGTCTTCAATATAGGCTAATTTTTAGGGATTTTATTTTTATTCTGATTTTATTTTATTTTATTTTATTCTCTTTATTTTGATTTTATTTTATTCTCTTTTCCATATTTGTAATTTTCCGCTTGTATATAATGATAGTCAGGCTCTCAAATTGAGTACGCCAATTTTACCAAGTTACTTTTCCTAGTAATCTAGGAATAATATCATTTTTCTTCTTTCTTAACTTCGTCAAACCTCAAGATAGATCCAAAAGGTGACAAGATTAGGGATAACTAACTTATAAGATAATTCTAGTCCTATGAAACAAAGCACCATGCTGCACAAGAAAAGACATTTGCAGGTCCATGAACACAAACAGACACCAACACACACACACACACACACACACACAAAAGAAGAAGATCAGGGAAGACAAAACAGTCTTAATCTGACCCTATAACGGTAGCGTATTTCATTTTCACTTCTTTTTATGACTTTCTTGGCACCACTTGACTCAGCAGGACTAATTAAAAATGGAACCATGGCAGAAACATTTGTCAACAACTGCAAACCAAGTGATGAGGTCGCGCTACTCAACTTCAGAACACTAGTTTATGCCCCTACCAAAAACAATCATCTATGAGTTTCCTTAGTGTTTCTTGTAATTTAGAGTGTGACTAAAGAAAGACAAAGCAAAAGATATGGAGAAAAAAAGTGAGTGTTTATTTCATGCAATCCCAATTTCACTGAATTTCATTACATTTTCAATTGACCTTTCATAAAGACAGAAAAAAATGAGATGGGAATGTAATTTCTGTATTTCTATAAGACAATACTCTTCGCTTGTTCAAATAATAACCACAACAAAATGCCAATAATAGTGTCTCTAACTAAATTCTTGAGAAGGGTATCAACCCAGCTGTCAGAGCCATCCATTGGCTTCTTCCCGGCTAGGTCCCGAAACCGCAAGTCTCCCAGATCTGATACTAGTGCATAAATCACTCCGTTCATGTGTGCCTTTCCGATAACGCCTACCACTGTGTTACTCTTATTCACAGCTTTGCACCACTTCAGAGACCACGCAAGATACTGAAACAAAAGCAGCATGTTACTCAGCACAATCGGCCAATTTTAGGTGACGCTGAAGTAGACTATAAAAGCAGCATAACTTATCCAACTATCTTCATAAATTGATAAGCAGCTACATTGCATTGCATCATGACAACAACAAAAAAAAAAAAACATTTTAATTTGAAAATATAAAATATATAATCAATGAAATGTAATTGTCGAGTTGAAATCGAGAAGAATTTAGGTTTCTAGTGAATTTTCTGGAAGGACTTACTGTGTCACGCTCGACTATAAGGGGCTGCAGCAATGATGGATATGAAAAGCTTAGCTGCTTGTAGAGCTGGAAGTTGCCATCGTCACTACTTGATTCCTGCAACAGAACAAGAAGAGTGAGATCTTAGAACATCATAATTTTTTTATCTAGATATAAGCAATATAGAAATTGTCATGACATTGTCTATTGAAGTCATCAAAACACAAACACACAAGCACCACAGCATGTGCGCGTGTAGAGACTGGTAAGTAATAATCAGATTTAAACACCAGAGAGATTAAGCAGGATGATATTTTCACATGCAAATTCGGTTTCCCCAGAAATTTACTAACCGTCTGACAAATTTTCTATAAAAAATGTTTTAGCATATATGGGGAAACCTCTCTCCAGTCTCAACAGATAGCAACTGCACTTCTAAAATGTTTTGCTGAAAGTTTCAAATATATGGATGACAAAAAAATATATGAACAAATTTCCCGTATATAGCTTAAATGAAAATATAATATGATAAGGGAACCTTCAATTTGCTCTTGGACAGATCAGATGACGATGATATTCCACGTAGAACAGAGATCACTAGACTAAATTTATCATTCCATGTTAGAGAATTCCAAGCCCTTTCAAGCTGCAAGAAAAGATTATGCAGAAATTATATACACTATTCACTCGTTATGTATCACAATTATATAGGAATAAATTATTCGGCCTCCAAGTTAAAGTTGAAACAAAAATTCAATCACAAAATCCACAAATCCACAAATATCAATCCAATAAAACCAAAACATGGAGTTTATGATCTAAATATAAAGTATTAATCTCAATTGATCACATTGCTCCTTATATTACACAAAGCTAAATGCGCATACAGTAATTTCAATTGGACGATCCCCCAAAACTATTTGAGCACCAATTTCTTCAGATGCCTTCCGAGCAGCACGGAACTGCATATTAAGGGAACAGTTTTCATGACTTAAGATGGTGAACACATGTATAGTTCTACATGTCATCAATATAGGTGAGGTTTTATTCTTTTTGCAAGTGAGTTACCTCATCCCCAAAAGGACGGTTGACATCCGAAGATATCTTCGAAGAGAAAACTGCCAACAGTAGGCGTAATGCTAGAGCAGTTTGACCCCCTGTATTACAGAAGTAGAATAGTTAATGTGCTTTAAATGCACACAGTGAAACATGCATAGAACTTATACTTACCCAAGTTTATGCTACGATTGACGGCACCAAAAAAGCCAGTCCCACTTAAAGAGAACATATTTGACCTCAACTGTTGGCTAGAATCGGCGTCATTGGAAGTATACATAATCCCAGCTCTGAAAATGAACTCTGTGATAATTGAAGTTAAGCTATGGATTGAAGATAAACCAACATGTATAGCAATCATCAGATCTCTCACTGATTCTTTTTAGCAGAACCACTCTTTAAAACAAATTCAGAAATTTAAATATTTACATTAAATTTTCTTGCACTTTAAAATATTCAGTCTATCTAATTTTATGATTTTAGCCCAGATAGCAAAAAAACTCAGAGGCAACATGTGTTCCTCCATTCCCCCTCCGGTTCTGTTTGTGTTCGATTCTTTTTCCCCCCTTCATTTTCACTCTGATGATAATTCCAAAATTACCCCGCACATTAACAATTAATATCCAAGTTAATGCACCTCATGATCACTTGATACACAACTTGTAAAAAAAAATTCAACATATTGTTTTCAATCTTTAATAGCTCGGTCGACACGATATCATCTCATCAAAATCTATTCGTCAATTTTTGAACATTTACGAAAGAATCTCTCATTATGTAACTATTGTACATATTATATTTCCCTACAGTACTCTAACAATTATTGTACATATTTCTCTAGAGTACTCTAATAGTTTTTGGAATATTTGTATATTTCTGGCTAACAAATTGTAAGAAGATTTATTTCCTATTCTATTTGGGGAGCTCTTCTATATATAGACATACAATAGGATTGTTATCCATGTCTAGCTACTAGTAACATAAGAGTGTTTCTCTTTAGCGTCCAACCAATTTTGCAGCATCAATACAATTATATTTTGACAATTTTGCAAGTAGATCTCATCTAATGGATTCTTACCTAATGGACTCGAATGTTCCAACTTCTCAACTCTTTTTTACAACCGTAACTTCTTTTCTATCATAAATTTCATACTTTTCTTAGTAATTTGAGGAAGGACAAAATTATTCCGTTGTGGTGGATTACTTCAAATCCGTATCTACAATAAAACAAGTATCTATTGTTACATTGTTCAATAATGAGATAAATTTCAATTGGAATAATGACTTTTCTAAATTTTTGATAAAAATATATAATTGTCACCACAAAAATTTACGTTGATAAAATAAATAATAATAATTGAAAGGGGAGTATGAACAACTTTTAATTAAAATATCAATTAAAATTAAAATTATCTTCTTTATATAGACAATGATAAGTCCAGTCCTTTGTACCACAAGTCTAAGGGGAATTTTCCTTTCAACTAAAAAAAGGCACGTGGATTAAGCAAGCACAAAAATACCAAACACCTTGAAAAACTTCAATCAATTAATATGATTCAACTGTCTTTTTTTTAATTAAGCAACCACAAAAATATCAAACACCTTGAAAAACTTCAATCAATTAATATATTTCAACTATGCCAATATATATATATATTATTCAACTAAAACCTCTAAGCAAACACAAACTTGCCTGCTTCTGCATAACTCCACAACAACACTGTCAGGCTTCACAGCCCGCACCAGCCGTTCGACTTGATCGGCTGATTCGTCGGAGATATGAGTCGTCCCGATTAACCAAATTGCCTCCGGCTCCACAAAACCAGATTGGGTTCGCCATACCGGCACAGGACCGAATTGGCTCTTTCTGATAAGCACTAAACTACCATTATCGGCCAAATCGAGCAAATCGGGATGGGTTTGAGCGATTGAAGCTCGAGAGACGCTGAAAATTTCGGATTTGAAGTCAAAATCTGGTGGTGGAGGGTTGATTGAAACCCTCAGGGTCTTTAAAGGTCTGGTTGCAAGGAGCTTGGAAGTGTGAAATTTGAATGAAAATGGGTGTAGATTAGGGTTAGAGAAAATTGGGAATAGAGATGATAGGATTTTCATGGAGAGAGAGAGTGTGTAGTGAGCTCTTTGTTACTGTCAACTATTTTTGGTAGTTCGTGTGTTCGTTATTCAGATAACGTAACTTGAAATTAACGGCAAAGCAAAAATGTGAATCTCTTGAGAGTGTGTGTGTGTGAGGGACTGCACCACATCTGGTGGTCACCTGTACTTTAGTCAAACTAAGTGGGACTTTAGGGAGAGTGTGTCTAAATTTTTGTTCTTTATTCTGATAAAATCCGCAAGCTTTTATTTTAAATATATATATATATATATTATAAATAGATACTTTAAGCATAAATAGAACGCTGATAGTAAAAACAGCATTAGTGTAACTTAGGCCCAAACTTGGACTGGGGCCAGTTTTTGAATCCATCCAAGAGAGAGATGACCCAATTGCACTGTAGCATTATTTTTTCTTGCAAAATAATAATAATAATAATAATAATAATAATAATAAATTATGATACATATCACCAAAATTTCTAATGAAATTGCACTTAATTGAATTAAACTGTTAGAACGATCCACAACAAGTTCATATGTGTCATAGAGGCAAAGAATATACATTTTTTTTTATTGTTGACCACTACAACTCTAGTTACAATAAGTTTTTTCTCACAACAATTATTTAATAAAAATATGTAATGTATCATAAAGCTCTCAATGTAGGGCCTGTGTCATAGATTACAAAGTATGATCACCAATTCAAGTCACCTGAAAAATCAACAGCAAATGCACATATTCTTATGAACTACAGAATAAGTAAATCACTGCCAACACCTGGCAAAAAAAAGAGCTCAATCACTTGCAGCCAACAATTGTCATAAGTTGACATTGTTTTGCCAAAAGACTATCTAAAACAAGTTTAAGGGACCCGAAGATGGGTTGGCAGCAACCACAAGTGCTGGTATACAACGGGAGAAAGAACAGTAGGAAATTTCCCGGCAAAATAACAAGCAAAAAAAATGCGGCAGAAAATGTAGGAGAAAAAATTCCAGCTCCTTGAATTTCCGATTCAACATGTTTGTAACCCTACTAATTGTGTTTTCCATCATGGAACTGAGCATTTTTTGATGACTTGAAAGTTTCTAAAAATTCTTTAGCCTTGCTTATTTCTTGCTTCTGCCTTGCATTGTCCCATTTGTGCTCAGCAGCCAGAATCTGGATTACGCGTGGCAATGCCCGGCTTGCTGCATCAGTGTCAAGGAAAGCAAGCCGACATCTCCTGGAGATGAAATCTATTGCAGATTCGCAGTACTCGTTCCGAGCACAGTATGCAACCTCAGCTTCAAGAAAGGGGTATCCATGTGCAAGTCGCTTCCCCAAATGTTCATTCTGGAAATTAGAAAAACAGAATTTAAATGTAAATTGACAGAAACCACAAAAAATGCTTTCATCAGAGAAACAATTTCATCATAAATATTACTTTGACCTAGAAGATCATCAGATATCATGGTCAAGTTAAAAACCTAACCAGGCATCCCAAACTTGCTCATTGGACGTCACATTAAGGCAAAAGCAATTCGGGCTTTGGATATACAATTGATATAGTTAAGAGTCCATTGAAATGAGCCAACCATTGGGTTTTTATGACATTGAAATGAGACTATTAGCCTGTTATTTAAACTTGTTTGAACTTAGGTACAGGACCTCATTTCTATTTCCCTTCGGTGATTATGGATTACTTATTAAGCAATCGAGTTTCAACTTGATTGTTCAACCGCTGGATAAAACAGTAGATTGGATCCAGCTATAGTTGAGCACTATTAAGCTTATTTTGAGCACTATTAACCTTATTTTTTTAACAATTGAGCAATTGTTGAGGTTCAATAGGTGGGGGAGTTCATCCAGACATGATTTCATCAAAAAAAGACCAGAGAAATTCAACAATAACGGAAAATAAAAAGGTGTGTAGTGATCATCCGTTATCTGAAATGTAAATCAAAATAGAAGTATAATAGCCAGATGCTATCATTCCATTATCACTTATTGACTAGTGATTTGAATTTTCAGAAATACTCTGGAGTCTGGACAGAAAGCTCCTCACATATCCACATTGCCAGGAGAGCGATGAGCAAGGTTATCTAATATGCTGCATCCATATTTCTATCACTAAGCAAATCCATCTATTAACTAAGTGCTGAAGGCTGAGAAAAACAGATTGTACAACTTCATATCATCAGTTTTGAAAAAATAATTCCAAATAGAAAAACAAAAACAACATTGCATATGCATAAAAACAATGCACCATTTCATTTTCCTGCATGTAAGCATCCCATATCAAAAAGTTTCCAAAAATAACGATTGAAATAACACCATATAGATCTAAAAGTGCAATTTAAGCATATTGTTATGGATGGTACTATTCCTTTAGTTACAGATCTTTGACATAATATAGTTGAAGTACAGAAACGCCAAGTGTCAAAATTGTTGCACAACTCAGGATATAACTTTTAGAAGAATATCATATGGAATGCACATAAACTACAGTACAAGAACTAAGTAAAATATATTGTAGAAAACAAAAAGGCTGAATGAATTATAAGTGAGCAAGTAAAAAACCTGAGCTATAGCAGCCACTCTTTCAGCCATAGTACCATATGCGCGAGACAAATGCTTTGCCACAGCAGTGTCCATTACTCCAGGGACAACTTTGCCACTATATGTTTTCTTCATGCGTATATATTGTTGGGCTAGTACTGTGAAAGATGCAGGATCCCATCCATCGCCACCAACAAGTCGCAGGTTGTTGGTTAAACATTTATTGGGTGCACTCAAATTTCCAGACTTTATAGCTGCATCAACAGCATCTTCTGCCATACTGAAACAGGTTGTAGTAAGCACCACAGTCAATTACAGAAAAGAAAAGCTTAATGAGGATAGATTAAACTGCTAAAGATAAAGATACCCCAGTTTTATTGTTTATTTATTTATAAATAAAGCTCATTAAAAGTGGCTCAATAGTGTTGGGTCAGAATCTTTTTTCGACTCTGATATTAATTTGTCATATGGAAGGGACAATTAAAGAAAATATAGCTCAAAAATACATAACTAAGTACACTGACAGCATTGTACAATAGCATCAACCATAAACTCGTGCATGTTATTGTTCTCAGTTGCCAGTGAAGGACGCAAGTTCAAATGAGTAACAGAAAACTGCAGATCACCCGAGATCAAATTACCTTCTATATGTTGTCCACTTTCCACCTGTAATTGTGACTAATCCGGGGTAATCTTCACATACAACATGATCTCTGGAAATGCTCTCAGTGTTCTTTGCTTTAGGATCCGTAGCCAATGGGCGAATACCACTCCAAGCAGAGAGAACATCTGTGCGCCGTACCTAAATTATCCTGTCATACTTTAGAATACAAAAGAAAACTGAACAAATGTACTAAATAAGAAGAAAAGAAACGAAAAAGATAAATATATTAAGTCTTCTAAAATGCTGCGTAATGCTTGTAAAAGTAAACGCATCAACATAGATAGACATGTTGAGGAAACAGGGGAGTCTCAAAGAACAAGTTAGCTGAAAAACGTGTTCCTTTGCAGTGACCTCTTAAGATGTGAGAGAAAAATATAGATCATCGACTATTTTTGCTACAGCATGACCATGTAAGAAAATGTCTATCAACATGAAAGACCAAATATTTATGTTGGACTTCACACCTAGAGCACAAACTGATCTATCAAGCAAACTAAGTCATAAATTTAATAGTGGATCGTTTCAACTAAACATGAGATAAGACGAGAAAATATGGAAGGAGCAACCCAAAATGAACAAATAACAAGATATTTCTTCTGCATCTTCTGTGACTTGAAACTGTGAATTCAGCACAAATATCTGGTAATGCTTCTATGATTTATTGACTTGCATCACTAAGAATATTTAAGTTTTTAAAGGTAAGTGCTGAAAAACAAAGCTAGCTTATAAGCATGGCAGAATTATATGATCCATTTTACAATGGCATTTCAACATCATTGATAGATTAGTGTTCCAATGGGCATTTCACTTGATCACAACAGTTGAAAAAACATCTTCAATATTCGCCAGCAAGTTCCATTATGGTATGGGATCAAAAAGTGAATGCTATAGCATGGAACAGCATAATACACACAAACAACAGTTGTGCACCAAAAGTAGCATGAAACATCAAAATAAGATTTCAAAAGTAGTGCTACAAAATGCTAATAAAAGCTTACATAATTTAAGAAAAAGAATTTTATATGCAGTGAAAACAAAGCTGCGGTAAGCACACACAAAACTACCAATCTTTTCGGTGAATCCACAAACCTTAACATTAAGGTAGTCAGAGATGGCATCCAGTATAAATTGAATTTCGTCCTCATGTGGTTCTGGTAGAAATGTAATGGGGGTGTTGGAATCTGTGGTGCCAGCAACTGTTCTACCCAACCATGGCAACATGAAAACAACACGTCCATCCTTAGTTTTGGGAACAATTAAGCCCATTCCTTCAGGAGAATAGTAATCAGGGAGCACGATATGTACGCCACTGCTAGGACAAATCATCGATTTTGCATCTTTGTCTGCCATTTTCCTCACAGAATCACAAAATGGCCCAGCTGCGTTAACAACCACCCTTGCATATGTATCGAACTCTTTGCCTGTATACTTTGACAAACAGTGAGGATCATAAAAAGCATAACTCGTCACATGAGTTATTCATAGGTACAAAAGGTTCTACCCATTAAACATTTGAAAAATGGAATAAAGAAAAATTGCTTTTCTGCATGTGTGCGTGTGTATAAGTGAGAGAAATGACTTGGTCACATAAGAACCAAATAAGTATGAAAGGAGAGACTACTTCTTTATTGTTTTATAAAATAAATGCACAAAAAATCCTATTATGTTCACATTTCTCATAATTGCAAAAGCATGAAATGGAATGGTCCATGAAATCATAATGCCGAAAAAAAAATTGACGGTTGCAGTCTTTTTGCATCTCATATAGAGGTAAAAGAGCAGGGAAACAAATATTGAAAGCATAGAAAGAGGGGAGAAAAACAATATTTAAACAAGAAGTGCCTTCAGCTGATAATATGTAACAAAGCATACTGCATGTTCTACCTGATAGATTGTCTCGAATACGTGCACCAATTATCCTCTCACTAGCCTCATCCTTAAGAAAGGATATGACTTCCGCATGGTTAAGCACGGCTGCCCCTGCTAATGCAGCAGTGCATGCTAATCCAACATTAACTCGTGAGTCATTCATTTGTCCATCATAATAAACCACCGTTCCCTTCAAGTTTCTGTCTTTACCCTTCCTTGCTAGAGTCGGGAAGAGTTCAACAGATTCTTGTTCAGAATAATATCTGGACAAGTGCAGTAAGCGTGCTCCTGCGACCAGATCATAAAATTTCAAGCCCATCCAATAGTATATTACCTCAAACCAGCTAAAACAAGGCGTCATGCATGGCAAAGCATGGCTCAGGTGTGGAGCATTCTCAATAACTTGCTTACGCTCCTCGAGAGCATGGAAAACCAGCTTCAGCTGTCCATAATCTAAATTGAAAACTGCTTTCTCCAAGTAGCGAACTCCTAGAAAAGTTGATTTAAATGATTACAAAAGAAAAAAGAGTAAAATTAGTGAATCTAAACAAAAACAGCTAAACTAATAAAAGGTCACTACAAAAGAACAGAAATGCTATACACAACAAATAGCAGATGCAGAACATGTTTTGTATATTCATAAAGTTACTTTAACATTCAGGTGGGGCTTTTCATAGCCATTGCACTGCCACTATTGAATACAATATTTACAGCTTATGGAAACAAGTTAAAATTATCTGATGTTTTTAATTTAATTCATGCGTAATGCTTAACTAATCAATATATATAAGTTTGGAGCGACATCATACACAATTCCAAAGAAGTTACCAAGATAAAATATTCAAACAAGTAATTCACACATTGACAAGTTCAAGCCAAAAAATATAATTGAAAATGGTGTTCAACTGGTCATTTCAGTATAAAGAAGGCTAACTTAATTCACCTTCATCTCCCACAGTGAAGAGAATCTAATCCAATTCCACTATCCGAATATGGTAAACTCATTCAGTATTTTTTTATGGTACCAAATGAGATGGCCTTGTACTGCACTTCCCAAACAATCTCTCAGAGCACTTAGTGAAATCTCTAAATCATGGGTTTTGCAAATATAATCGGCTAATTGCATAATTGAATCGGACAAAAAAGCTAAAATTCTAATAATGATAATAATAATGCAAATACAATCAACTGATATATAACAAAAACATCTGAAATTGAATTCATAAAATCACAATTCGATAGCTATAAGTTAAATAAGCAAACAATAATTTATGTCTAGAAATCGAAACCCTAATCATCAGTTCACCAACATGTATACATACAGTAATTAGGACTATATAACATAATGTGCAAGCAAAAGCTGAGGTGTAAGCAAACAGCACACTTAGAATTGTGGAAGATACATAAATTCAAGCACACACCTCCATGAATTAGCTTCGTTGACCGCGATGATGTCCCGGAGGAGAAGTCCTCTCGTTCGACGAGGCCCACACGGAGCCCTCTCGTTGCGGCGTCGAGAGCGGCACCAGAGCCGGTGGCGCCTCCTCCAACAACGAGAATGTCGAGCGGGTTGGCCGGGCTAGCGCCGATTAGGGCCGACTCCTGGACCTCCCTCGGCGGGACGGTGGCGAATGGGTCGGCGATCTTCCTCCGGACATCGTCCAGTGGTGGCCCAAGTCGGTCGTTGGCCGAGACTGACGGGTCGCGGAGGCCAAGGTAACTGACGCCGGACAGGGCGGCGACGGCCGAGGCGGTGGCGCCAAGGAGGCGAAGGCGAAGGCGAAGGCGGATGAAGGTGGCCATGGTGATGAGAGAGAAAGAAGAGAGAGAGGGTGTTTGGAAAATGTAAAGTGAATTCTGTTACTTATTTGCATTGGGAATCGGATTTGCAAATTGGAATAACTTGTTTTCGCATTTCTTTTTTGAAGTCAGCAATCACGAGACTCATGACAATTTTAATGGGTTTCGTGACGAAGGAGTTAATTGTTGTTCATCTTCACCGTTAAAAGTTTTCATGGGGACATTTAATTAATATTCACTTCCTCTCAAAATAAATATTTACCATTCTATTTTTAGTTTTTCTAACATAAACGTCCCAATTGAAAAGTTACTGAATTATTTTTTATAATATTACCGATTTAATCTTCTTTTATTGAATTTATTAAAAGTAAAGCATCACATCTATTTGGTAACTATTTATTTGATAATTAAAGAGCAAATATCTATTATTATTGATCTACATCATATGTAAGGACAATGTGTGAAGATCTAAATATTATTTTAGACCTATACATATATTTGGTAATTTATTCTCTATTAAAATAATAAAAAAGGATAATACTTGTGAGAATGTACTACCAATAATAAATAAATATGTTTTTTTTTAATTACCAAATTAAATATGATAATTAATCATCAAACCTGATATGAAAATTGAATATATATATCTCAACATTTCTGATCTGGTAAATAGTCGATGAAGACTTATTTGGTGATTAAAGAAGACATATAAGATGGTGTACATCCTCGTCGGTGAGGACTTAAGTATTGTCCTCATAAAAATTACTAAAATACAACACCTTAAAATGTTAGATTTTTAAAAAGGAATATTAAATTTTGAGACTAATATATTGTCTTCTTTTAAATTTACGTAAATATTCTTGTAAATTTAATTACCAAATTGGATATGATAATTAATCACAAAACTTGATTTGGTAAATAAATATCTACTCCCACTATCACCGCTCACGGGTGTGAGGACTTAAGTATTGCCTTAATAAAAATTACTAAAATACATCATCTTAAAAAGTTAGATTTCTAAAAAGCAATATTTATTTTGGGACGAGTATAAATATCTACTCCCACCATCACCGCTCACGAGGGTGTGAGGACTTAAGTATTGCCTTAATAAAAATTACTAAAATACATCCTCTTAAAAGTTAGATTTCTAAAAAGCAATATTTATTTTGGGACGAGTATATTGTCTTCTTTTAAAATTACCTATATATTCTTGTAAATTTATATATATATTAATGAATGATTTTTTAATTTTTAAAGGGTAATGATAAAAAAAAAAAAATAGCACAGAGTATTTATTTTACTTTTACTTTATAAATAGGACAAAATTCAGACATACTATTTAATATGGAACATGGAGTATATTGTTGAATAAACTTACTCAGCTTTCTCATAAAAATTATTATTATTATTATTATTTTGTATCAAAATAATTGTTAGAATTCAAAATTTAATGTATTATATTTTTAATATTCTTAATTTATCCTCCTTGTTTTGAAGTTATAAAAATATGTGAACTCAGTTATATTTAAAAAATTATATACTAAAAAATAAAATAAAAAACATTAAAAATTAAACTCTAAAAAACTAGATTCCTAAAAAAGATAATTTTTTTTTAGAACAGATATTATTAAATATGAGTTTTTTTTTCTATTATTAAATATGAGTTTTTGTTTTTTTCTTCCTATTATTAAATATCAGTTTACGAGTTAGGAATTAGGATGTTTCAGACATTTTATACGTCCATGGCCGCCTTTTGTTCTAACAAAAGGGCCCACACCCACGTCTCAAGCATCTACGCCTGCATGGCTTATGACACCCCCACTTCATACATATATATATATATATATATATATATATATATATAATATTCCTCAGGTTTGGATATATTGGTTTAATATTCAACCTCAGCCATTTTTGTCATCACTCCTCTTCAGATTTGGTTTATCTCGTGGTATTTTTTTTTTGGGCAAATTCATAAAATATGATACCTAAATTACCCTCCATTACTTCATATACATTTTTACCATTAATTTGTTAGACATTTATTCCCTCACATAAAGATGAGAAGGCATGTCTCCATCATTTGCTTCTTCTGAATCTGGAAAACTCCGGCAATACATCCAATATATTCTGAGACTCCCAAATCTCCTCTCCGTTTGCTATCTTCTCACACACGTTTCAAATCATCCTCTTCTCCATTTGCTATCTTCTCAGACTCCCAAATATCCCAACTCCCTTTATATGCACATATATGTATATATGTATATACATATATACACACATTGTGATTCAATGGCGACAATTGATCTAAGAAGTGGGTTCTGCAAATCAAACACCAGCCCATAAATTTACCTTCGAATCACTCCCTCGACGTCATCGCATTCATCTCATCGCGTCCCCACTACGGCAACACCGCCACCAGCCGCCTTTTCTTCTCTAACATCTAAGAAGTGGGTTCCGCAAATCAAACACCGCCCAAAAAATTTATCAAATTTTTTTTTTTGTTCTGTTCATAACAAGGGTTTGAGAAAATTTTCTTGATTTGGGCTGTTTGTGAGTATAATTTCAGGGTTCGTTTTTGTTTCGGCCCCTTCGATTACTAAATTGTACAGAAAATTAGCGATTTTGGTTCTTCAACGCAGCCACCGTCTTCACCACCACTGCCACAAGGCAAACCAATCCGTTGGAATATTAATTTTTTTTCCAAAAATTGATTGGAATATGAATTTGGTTTAGATTGGTCCATGGATTTTATTGCTTTGGACTGTTTGGGAGACTAATTTCAATTTTGAGGGTCGTTTTTTGTTTCGTTCCCTTCGATTCCTAAATTGGTCGAAAAAAAAAATGAACCAATATATATAAATATATATTTATTTGGTTTGGTTTCTGGAGTTGGCAATTAAATTGATAAAGGGTAATATTGTCATTTCATATATCACCTGCACATGTCAGCATTGACATAAGTATGAAAATTAATAAAGTCAAGGTTATAATAATAAAAACATCTTCTCCATACTTTTTAAAGGGGGTGTGAGGGCAAAAAAAAGACTGAGATTTAATATGAAAACAGTAAGGGTGTGTTTGGATGAATTGATTCGGAGGATATCCCTCTCTATCCCTCATTTACTTTCTTTCCAATTTTGAGAAAATAGGAGAGAAATGACAGTGAACGTAAGTGGTATTTTGATAATACAAAAAATAACTTCCACAAATCAATATGTATAAAAATTATTCCATTCAAGTCCTAACATTGTGCTTACAAGAATTTGAAAGAGATCGATGGTTTAAGAACTTTGCTTAAAATTTTTGTTTTCAGGGTACCCATCTTTACCTCTTAAACTAGAACTAGATATAGAAAATTGATGTGTTAAATGCAACATACTCGGAGCATGAAAGAGGTGTGGTTTCTCAATTGAGAGTATAAATGTAGAGAGACCCATGGAAGGGATAATTGAAACTGGAACTCACATCCGGTTATTCCATGGAATCATGATGAAATTGGTTTCCTTATATGTTTGTTTTTCCTTTTTTCCCCTTTGCTTTTTCAGAATTGAGAGAATTTAGTCTATTTCTAGAATCTCTTTGAAGATAAATGACTACAGTACTATACTACTTTCAGTAATTGTGATAGAACATGTAGTAGATGCTAACGAAATGCTCCAGATTTAAATGAATACACAGTTGCAAAATCTGCTAAAAGTGCAGCAAAATAATTCTACATAAGAAATTGATGTCTTGTATATCAAAAACTGTTGCAAAATCTGAGGAGAATACTAATTAGGAAAAGGAAAATTAATAGGAGATACAGAAAAAAAAAAAAAAAAAAAAAAAAAAAAAAAAAAACCAGTTCAGTGGGAATTTTTTTTTTTTTTTTTTTTTTGTTAGATATCTTCAGCGCCTTGTTATGAAGAAACCACTTATTTTGACCAAAAAATAAAAGTATTTTTAGGGATATTACTTTAATTAATTCTTGATATATTTTGATTAAAAGTGTCCCTAAGAAATAAAAGAAAAATGAACAATGGAGGCTTTCTTTAAGGCGACATAAAATGGTTTGGGAGAATTAGGAACATTATGAAAGGGTAGGATAGTAATTTGATCATTATCCTTTCTTTTCTTTTCTCTCCTCTATTTTATCCAAAATAACTATCATTTCTTTTCTTTTCCCCCCTATCTATCCAAACATAAATAAAAATTATTACTATCATTTTTTTTTTTTTTCTTTTTCTCTCCTAACTAATACTATCATTTCTTTTATTTTCTCTCATATTTATTCAAACGCACCCTAAGTGCAAACTTGAAAGGTGGTGAGACCATTTAACCCAATAAAATAAAATTTGAGGGGGAGGGAAAGAAAGTATAGCATGGGATTGTTAGAATTCAAAACCGTTTATGTTGTATGTGTGGATTTATTTGTTTGTTTCCAACAAAAAAATATTAAATAAATAAAAAAATCTATTTGTTTGAGATTTAATCAAGCCAAGGAAAGAGAGAAATGAATTGACAGTTATACTTTTATAATCAAGACGGTTATTTGTTAATCTGTCGATGTATTAAAATTAAAATTAAAATATTAATAATGTGCGCGCCACCGATAGTTTAAGGTCATCAGTCAACTAGTGTATCATCACAATGTTGAGTTTAACTGGTCCTCTTATTGGTTGTTTGGCTTAGCAGGTGACTTGTGTGGTCGGTCGGTAGAATAGCAACCTCAACGATGAGATAATTTATGAACTAATATTTAGGCATGTTAGGTATGTCATTTTTGTTTTTGATTATAGTAGGAAATGGTAGAAGAAAATGTGTTTGGTAAAAATTATTTTCGTGAATAGTATTCAAAAATCAAAACATCAAGGGCTCAATATGTTTTAGGGCGTTGTGTTATTAGTCAATACCTAAATAATCCTTTTTTTGTAGGATTATTGTGATACCCCTCGGATTCGATACACGGGTTGATCAAGTCTGACCCAAGTCCGAGGGATATCAAACAATTAAAGTATTTTAAACGAACACAGATTACAAAAAAATGATTTAAGAAATAAAAGAATAAGCAGAAAGAAACTATAAAAGAAATCCTCAATATAAAAACCTTAAAATATTAATAACTTAAAATCCTACAATCCA